GGGGGCTCGGAGTCAGTTCTCAGCGCCCGTTGAAGACTTATTCCCCAATGAAAAATTACAGTTTTTATAATAAGACACAGATACGAGTAGCGTAAGAAAATATAATCGAATGAATTATTAGATTGCATTCCTGGCTCTAGATGGTGGAGTTCTCTATATCTTGTTCAAGGGAGAAGACACCTTTCTAGGTAATTCACAAATATGTAATCGTTTTTAGTCTTACATTGACATTTAAAAACTACTCTAATTGTTTCGTGAACTATGCAAAAGAAATGAAAAACGATCGGTTTTAGTTCTCACTCAAATGACAGTTTTTTTTAAGTATAGGGAGCTTAGTATGAAAATGTGCTGACATATCCATTTCTACATTAAAAAAACTCGCTTCAGTATTTTCTATCCAATTATTGATACAAAACCATGGGTTTGTTGTTACGTTTTTTGTTTTCAAGAGTTCAAGGCTTAATTAATTTAAATTTATCATTTTTTTACTAAAAACGAATGTTCTTTGGTTTAAAAAATCCAAAAGGAAACGAAAAGCTATCGTTCATTTTAATCGTTTTTGTTAAAACGACACCAAATCCTATTTCAGGATGCCACCACTCTATTTCCTAATAAACCTACCTAAAAATAAGTTTTAAATTTGTTTAGTTAGTTTTAAAGAGATTTTGGTTTTGTCTTTAATTGTAGAATAATGAAATAAAATTTACAGGAAGTCATCTAATTTTTCCTAAATTGAATAATGTCTATTTAAAGGACGAAATATTGAGTACAATCTTCAAGAGAGCAATCCATCAGCGATCTACTTTACCATCATCATTATTCTTCTTGTTCTATTATCCTTCTTCAGTCTCTTCACCTGCCTGGGTAAGCTGTTTTTTATGATTTTTCTGGGGATAGGGGCTTTTTTAGGAGTTTGTCCAGGGGGGCTTAAGCACCCATTGGGGCCCTAAAAACCCCTGAAAATCATAGATTGCACCTAACCATTTTATCGCTGAATGTATTTTTTGGTATGAAAATATCATTAATAGGGAAATTAGTCCCACTTTTATTTTTTTTCGTGCTAATGATAATTTTGTCTCCTTCACTATTTTTTGCTAACCGGGTGGGGGGGGGGGGGGCTATTTTGTATAGAAATGTACACATTTTTTATCCATGATTATATATTGAATATTTATTACGTAATCAAATCATTTTTTTAAAATTTGAATTAAAAATTTTTTTAACAAGATTTTTAAAAAATAGAATTTAAGAATTTTTTTTTAACAAGATTTTTAAAAAATTGAATTTAAGAATTTTTTTTTAACAAGACCAAGAACTCAAATATTTTTGTTACTAAAATATTGAATACTAGCCTTAGGAATGTACTTTTAATGGAGAAAAATTATTTGTCATGACAGTGATTGGGAATAAAAGTCTAGGGCGCTTCGCGCTCATCTTCTAAATTAATTGTGAACATGTTCTCTTTCTGTACATCGTAAAACAAAACAAAAATAATTCGCGGATTTTCACAAAAAAATACGCGGATTTTCAAAATTTTAAAAAATTTAATGAAGATCGAATTTTGATTTGATTTGAAATTTTGATCATTCATAAACCTTCCCTGGGGTCCCTAGATGTCCCACAAAAAATTTGGGCCAGATCGGTTCAGCCGTTTTGACGTTTATTGGATACAAACAAACAGACAGACAAGCCAAATTTATATATAGATTTTGAATATATTTTAATATTTTTCTCCATCTAAGGTAAACAAATATTCATTGTTTAGGTTGCTGTGGTACTGCTTGTAAATCTAGTTGCATGATTGGCAGCTTTATAGGTAGGTTTCCTTGTACAAAGTAATTACAAGATGATTTTTGCCAGATCCTAGATTCCTATTTTTAAGAAATTAATCCGGATTCATCTTATAAGAAATTAATGCAGATCCAGATTAAGAATTTTCAAGTTTGTGGTACTAACTTCTTGTCCGATATTTATTGTTTTATTTTGCAAATATCTAAAGTCTTTGGTCAAATACAGATTTGGTTGATTGGTTCGTTGGTTGATTGATTGATTGATTGATTGATTGATTATTGTTGTTCAGTGATCGAGTTTGTTCTGTTCGGTGGATCAGTTGGTGGACTAGTATTCCTTCACTATAAGTATGGACTTGATGCTGTACAGGAGATACTGGATCAGGTTTAAACATCTTAAAATAATAACTAGGCTTCTTAGTCTTAGCACTCGTTTTCCTACCAAAATGTAAGTTTCTAACTGTTGGGTTGAGGACATGTCAACCTGAGGTTACGGTTGACAAAGGTTCACGGAAACCCTTCACCCGGGAATTCAGAGTAGAACAAAACCTGGGCGGATATAACAGATGATCCCAGACGTGTATAAAATTCGTATTGAGATGGGAAGTACTAATGGGTGAAATTGTTACACCAGAAAGAACACCCCCCAGCAATTATTCCCTTGAATTAATTATTTAACTGTTGCTCTGAATTCGCGATTCTAGAGAAGATTTGTAAGGTCGTCTTTATTTGCCAAGTAACTAACATAGTACGCACAATCTGGACACCGTGTTCGTTAAACAGGTCAGAATAAATTGGGCATTTGGACAATTATCAGCGGAAAGAGTAGGACTACTGAATAATGATCCAGTCGAATAAATTTCCATTGGACTGTTATTGATTTGCACCAATGTATTAAATTACTTGAAAACACTTAAACGACAAATTTGTAAAATACAACTAGAAACCACACTTGAAAATGTTTATCAGGGAGATGATTTTTTTACATTTAGATACTTTCAACATTTTCTAGAACAAATTTAAAACCTTCAATTAGACTCAAGAAATATTTTTTCCCCTAATAGTTTAAAAAACCTTGGTTCAAACTTGAACAGAATCATTTTAAAATTATTTTTTTATCAAATAAAGTAATTGAAATACAAGCTGGTTTCTGATAAAGCTGACTTTTGTGCAATTGAACAATAGTTAAACATCGTTTAACTAGGCAGTAGTTCAAACGATGCAGCACAATTTCTGGTAAATTACAGGGTTAAGTATTCTAGTGATCAAGAACCCCAAATAAGCCTAAATCAGAAAGGAATCTTGATTTGTTTGTATATGTGGCAAGAATGTACACATTTTTCATAATTTTATATATTTTATCCTTGAGTTTTATTTTAAAAGAGGAACCTTATTACATGTAATCATTTTTTCCAATGACCTAAATTCCTACTCCTTGTTAAAGTAAACTATCATTCTTTCTCTGTATATAACCCCATTAAATGCAGATGGTAAAAACTGAGATTTTAGATGATTTTCTAGTCGAAATTATTCAGTTATTGGAGGAAAACACGTCAATTTTTCTCTCACTATCTTTAAACATTTATAATTCTGGAAAAATACTCCCTAAATTCTATTAGTGTTTTATCCAAGCTGTTAACTAGTTTTTTATATACCGCCGATGGGAGTTGGGTCTATTAAAATGGAGGAGACTTTGAATTGACTCCTATGTGTTTCAATGAAAAATACTCCCTAAATTCTATTAGTGTTTTATCTAAGCTGTTAACTAGTTTGTTTATATACCGCCGATGGGAGTTGGGTCTATTAAAATGGAGGAGACTTTGAATTGACTCCTATGTGTTTCAATGAAAAATAAACTACTAAAATACTTCAAATATGTTGTTTATATACCGCCGATGGGAGTTGGGTCTATTAAAATGGAGGAGACTTTGAATTGACTCCTATGTGTTTCAATGAAAAATAAACCACTAAAAATACTTCAAATATGTTGTTTATATACCGCCGATGGGAGTTGGGTCTATTAAAATGGAGGAGACTTTGAATTGACTCCTATGTGTTTCAATGAAAAATAAACTACTAAAATACTTCAAATATGTTTTTGAATGATTTAGCGTTTTTAGAATCATTGTTAAAATAATGTTAGTTTTGTTTAGGAGTTGTCTCGATCAGTTTCTAGTTATTCACAGGATTCTGTTCTTATAAAAGGAGCCTGGGACTGGTTCCTAGTCACTGCCCAGGTATAATAATCCATTTCACTCTATTTTTAATTGAGTTATTTCTAACTGATTTTAACCTATTAGTAAAATTATTTGCTTTATAACAACATCAAATACACTTTAAATATTCTTACCATTTTATTTTACAAAAATTATAGAAGATGAATACATTGTTAAAAACACTTTCAGTATTGCTTTAATGTCGTCTTCCAATTACACATTTTTCTGATTCTTACAGCACCAAACTCAAGGCTAAGAAATTATTTTTTTTTTGAGCTGGGGGGGGGGGGAAATAATTTTCGTAGAATTGAAGAAATAAAGTGTCAGAAATTGGAGAAAAACTTTGTCGTTAAAGATTTATTGTTTTTCTTGAGCTTTTTGAGAATTTATATTTTATATAACCCTGATGTTTGTTTCTAGTGTTGTGGAGTGGGTGTAGAGGGTATAAAGGTTTGGAGTCGGGCAGATCTTAAACCAAACTACAGGGTACCTCAGGCATGCTGTAAACCAAACTACGACGGTGAGAACGATTATGCTCCTTGTAATGTGTATAATGAATATATACAATACATGTCAAAACGGCGAAATCGACCAGGCCCAGATTTTGTTATAGCCGGTCGAAATTGGAAAATTTTGCCCAGAAAAAATGTAGATTTTTAAAACATTTTGAATTTTTTATATTTATAATGTAAGAAGAAAATATGGTGTCTGGAAACGCGTTTAAAGCTAAAATAATTGCTAGAAGATAAGCATTAAGCCGTGTAGACATATAATGTTTTAAATCATTTGTCTCAACATTTTTTTGTTTAAATTTTTATTTTTATTTTTAAGAATGCATGTATGAGCCTGGGTTTGAGACAACTAACCTATCTGACTGCATTCCAATACTCCTACCCTTCTCACAAGCATTGATATATGGTCTGCCCGTTCTCATGCTTATTTCGTAAGTTCTTTTTTTCTGTTAACAGCTTTATAGATTTAAATAAGTTTTATTTTCTCTTAAATCGTTAAATACGTTGATTGTTCAACTACTTGACTTCTCTTCATTTTTAGTAAATTGAAAGGATGCACTGAGGGGAGGAAGACCAGCCACAACACTTTCTAGTCCGAGCCACATTTTTCTCATTTTCTCGTCCGAGCCACCTTTAATTCCTCGTCCTTCTAATAGTATTTTTTAAAAGTGTCTAGTCCTCCAAGATGAAACAATTTTTTAAGAATCGGGCCACGTTAGGGCACAAATGAAATATTGAATTTTAGTAAATCGAAAAAAAATAGTTTCAATTGAATTAAAGTTTTCGAGTTCTTTGCCCTTAAAAATGTTCACATTTTTACGCTCATTTTCAGATATTCTTGATGTAGAATGCCGCAAATAATTCCGAGGTTATAGAACTTTAATCTTTTTGTTAATTATAGTGAAAACCATAGATTTTTTCCTGGTGGTTCCATGGGGAAAATGATAGGCAGAGGTATGCCAAAGATTTTTCAATTTTTCATATTGCGAAGGTAGGTCATTACAGAGGCAGAAGAGTTTTAAGTTTTACGTGAATAATTTTTGACATCATTCTCATGTCTGTAAAGATTCAAACATGATTTAATCATTTCAATACTTCATTCTATCCTTATGTTATGCCCTAACGTGGCCAGATTTGTTAAAAATGGTTTTTTTCTTCAAGAATTAGAAACTTATCAACACATAATAATCGAAGGACGAGGATTTCTAGGTGAATGAATGAGGAGAATGTGGCTCGGAAGAGAAGTTGTTGTGGCTGGCCTAACTCCCCTCATGCACTAGTCTCTGTAGGAAACATAAAGTTTCTATTTTTATGAAGGAAACCTCTTTGATTCATCAGTTCCTCTTCCAATTCTCCACTAGAGACTTTAATTTAATTCGCACGGATAAGTGGCTTAGACTTTAATTTTGACAGTATAAAAGATAAAAATAAATATTTTTTTCATTTATTAGATTAGTTTTCGCCTTCATTGTAACTTCTACATTTAATCGACGGGAGACGAGAAAGGAAGAGAGACCCTACCATTCTACCTCACAGTATAGTATAGGTCAACATGTTGGTAAATATAGGACTGTTAAGGAATGTCGGAGACTATCCAACTGGAACAGTTTCTCCCCCGGATAACACTTATCCCCTTCTTCATGCTGCTCCCCCTAGGTAAACGCAAATTTTGGAAATAAATCTAACTTTTTTTATAAACAAAAATTTCATATGGATTGATTACAAGCTGTGTTGAATGACAATTTTTTTATGTAAATTTCTTAAATGCCGAAGCATATCATCTACAAGTTGAAGTTGAAACAAAGAATATGATTCCAATCTATATATAAATTTAGCATGTCTGTCTGTCTGTTTGTATCCAATTAACATAAAAACGGCTGAACCGATCAGGCCGAAATTTTGTGTGGGACCTCACGTGACCCCAGGGAAGGTTTACGAGTGATCAAAAAATTTAAAAATTCCTGTTCAAAAGTTTTTTATTTTTGTAAAATTTTGAAAATGCGCGAAAAATATTATGAAATCCGCAAACTTTTTTTTTTATACTGTTCCAAGAGAAGATGGTCACAGATAAAGCCACAATTAAAAGTTGAAATAGAAGATGGGCGCGAAGCGCCCTAAAAGCCCAGTTATGTTAAATTTTGAAAATTTTGACCAGGAAAACTAAAATAATTTCTAATATTCTTTAGTAGTTCGTTTTCTTAGGGTCATCTATATTTTAAAGTTGAATCATACTTTCTCAATCCATGTTGCTTTCTGATTATTAAATATATATGAACGAAAGCTATTACTTTTTCTTCATATTTATAAACAAGATCAAGAGAAAAAATTACCTGTGGCTATTTAAACTTTTAAAAGTTTCATCTGAAAAGCAGCCCATTTTTTCATTGACAATGAAAAATTCAATAAGTTACCGCCCATTAATGTTTTTGCCAAAGTATCCCACTACGCATTTGCAAGAGAAGTGAAGACGACCAACTTAATCTTCTACCCCCAATTATATATTCAGAGCCTTAGTAAGAATTCCTATTTTACCTATTTCTTGTTTCCAATATTTTAGCTTTTAGTCTTCCATTGAGTGCTGCTTTATTGGCACTAATCTCATAAATTGTTTGATTTCCCAGATCAATAAAAATTATTTTTATTTTCAGTTACAACGAGGTTGTTAAATACAGTGCAGTTATCGGGCCTGGGTACAGTTCTGAGATAAGACAGTACAGCAGACAGTCTAGCTACATAAACCAGTAGACTAGACAGTCCAGCTACATAAACCAGTAGACTAGACAGTCCAGCTACATAAACCAGTAGACTAGACAGTCCAGCTACATAAACCATTAGACTAGATAGTCCAGCTACTTAAACTAGTTGACCAGACAGTCCAGTAAACCAGTAGACTAGACAGTCCAGCTACATAAACCAGTAGACTAGACAGTCCAGCTACATAAACCAGTAGACTAGACAGTCCAGCTACATAAACTAGAAGACTAGACAGTCCAGCTACATAAACCAGTAGACTAGACAGTCTAGCTATATAAACCATTAGACTAGATAGTCCAGCTACTTAAACTAGTTGACCAGACAGTCCAGCTACATACAGAAACTAGTAGACTAGACAGACAGTCCAGCTTCAAAAACCAGTAAACCAGACAGGCCAGCTACATACAAAAACTAGAAAAACTATACTGTCCAACTACATACAGAAACTAGTAGACTAGACACTTCAGCTACATACAGAGACCATAGATTAGGCACTTCAGCTACCAGAGACCATAGATTAGGCACTTCAACTACTTATTACCAGTAGACTAGACAGTCCAGCTACATAAACAAAAAGACTAGACAGTCCAGCTTCATAAACCAGTTGACTAGACAGGCTAGCTACATACAGAAACTAGTAGACTAGACACTTAAGCTACATACTAATGTTAATAGACTAGACACTTCAGCTACATAAAGAAGTTAACAGACTAGACACTTCTGCTACGTGCAGAAAATAGTAGTCTGGAAACTTTAAGCTACATACAGAAACTAGTAGACTGGAAACTTCTGCTACATTCAGAAACTAGTAGACTGGAAACTTTAAACTACATACAGAAACTAGTAGACTGGACACTTCTGCTACATACAGAAACTAGTATACCAGACACTTCAACTTCATACAGAAACTAGTAGACTGGAAACTTTAAACTACATACAGAAACTAGTAGACTGGACACTTCTGCTACATACAGAAACTAGTATACCAGACACTTCAACTTCATACAGAAACTAGTAGACTGGAAACTTTAAACTACATACAGAAACTAGTAGTCCAGATTCCTCAGCTAAACAGACCAGTAGACTAGACAATACAGCTAAATAAGACTGGACGCTTTAATTGGAGAATATTACCTTACTTTCAACCATAGACTAGACTAATTTAATTACTTCTCTCTATTCATTACATCTGGTCTCTGGATTATTATTTCTTGTTGTATTTATTATAAAAGACCCGGAATTGATTGACAGGCGATTTTACATTTATAGCTCCGGCAATTTTATTTGCTCAAAAAAGGCAGACCACATTTTGAAATTAATTGTAAATTAATTCCGGGTCTTTCTGATTAGCACTGTACTTGTACCGTAAACACACTTGCATAAAAACACATTTACTTGTGCGCATACTGTCAGCATAAATTTTGTTAACGTAAAAATATTAATCCATAAGTTAATTTGTTTTAGTATTTAATATTGTCCATTGATAATAATTCTTAAAACGTTCATTAAAATATTTTGTCCCTTATTGACATTATTTTCATATTTTTAACACATGAAGGAGAAACAAGGTACCTTGTAAAAAAACTTCATTATTTATTTTAAAATCCAGATATTACTACGTTTCATTTTCCTGGTTTAAAAAAAAACTCATTTTGACAAATCTAGAAATGATTAAAAAAAATTTTCTGGATTTCAATCCTACTAAATCTTAATAATCTGAAAATGCCGTAAAAAAGTTCTCATTCTGAGCTACTCTCTTAATAAAAAAATTTCTGTGGATTAGAATATAAGCTTTTTTATATTTACTCAGATAAAATTCGAAAATTAAATATGTTTAGTTTTAAATCTCTTTTACAAGAATTTTGACATAAAAAAGTAAATATCATGCTTTCAAACTCAAAATAAAGTGCCGAATATTGCCTCCGGCACTTTTGCCAAGAAAAAGATAATTACTTGCGGCCAAAACACTCAGAAAAATCTGTATTTGATGACGAATCAAAATCAGTGCGAAAATTTTCGTTTAAATTTGCAAAGTTTAGAGAGTACGAGTCGTTTTATAGCTTTTTTAGTTTTACAAATGCTCTCTTTTAATTCTCTTAAGTCTTCCCGATATTTGAAATGATAACCTTAATTTTTTATTTTTGTTTTTCTAAATGTTTATCGTCTTCGCCTGCTCTTGGACTTTGTACAAAGAAAGATTAATGTCTCCTGAAGTTTCTCAAAACGGGAATCTCTGAAACCAAATCTAAATTTAGTGCTATTTAAAAGTTAGTAATTACTGTAAATATGATTGTAAAATATAGTTAGTTCGTTTACCTGTTGTTACATGATATCAGGGTTTCATAATCTTCCTCCCAGTTTAGGTTTAATTCATTAATTTCTTAAACGGAGTTTTTATTTTTTCACATTTTTATTAAAAAGATTTTTCGTTAATCTCCCTCGAAAATATGATTGTTCTACTCCATAAGTTGAATTAAAATTTTAAGTAGAATCAGGTAAATGCAAGTCTTAACCCTTTTTTTCTTTTAAAATTTTGGAAGGCATGAATATAAATTTTGCATGAAAAATATTTTTTAAAAATCATTAATGTAAACCTGTAACATAATTTTTTTTTATTATTTGACGACTTGTTTATTTATCGACGCTAGTTACAGTGTAAATTGTACTTGCATGAAACTTTTAAAATTTACCTCGCACTGCGTGTAATTAACATAATCATTTAGGAAATGTAATTTAAAATATTTGTTAAATTCCAACTTTTTATTTTTTAAATGTGTTGTGTAAATAAATATTGAATGTATTGATGTACAATATATTTCAGAATATGATTTGATGTTAATGTACCCATAGAGTTGAGCAGTGAACACTTACTATCAAGTTTAAATCAGGTATAGTATTTAAATACCAATTCAGTTGTTGGTCCTAATACGATCAGTCAGCGAAACCTTAGTTAAGATAGCGCTCGGCTTAAAGACTTAATCGATATCCAATACGCAAACTTTTAGATTGAGGTTTTACGTCGGAGATTTGGTGAAAGTACTTTACTTACACAAAATATAGTTTATAGTTCAGGTGTCGAGGGGGAAACTAATTGTCTTGAGATTTAAAGTCACTGGTTTAAGATTCTTAAGTTTAGCCCTATTCATTGAATTTTCCAGGTTTTGATTGATTGATTTAATGACTGGTTGATTAACTGATTGATTGATTGATTAATTGATTGATTGACAGAATGGGACGAAGCTAATAAACACCCAAATTTGGTGTATTGTTGATTATCTTTTCGATTGAGAAACTAGAAATATTTTCTTTATTAAATTTGACTATTCTCAAATTAAGCATTTTTATTTTTTATTGCAGATGGCAATTAGGATCGACATTGATATTTAAATGGTAGTACTGAGGATTAAAGGAACTTGATAATTGAATAGAATTGTTCTCGTGTTTTTATTTTGGTTCTCTCATTTTTAAAGGAAATAATTATTTTTCAGATTTACTCTTTGGGGTATGTCTAGGTCTTGAAATATGGACGAAACAAGTTCACAAAGGTAACTAGCAATTAAATAACAAGAAACAAGAAACTATGTATGTATATTGTGTAATGTACACTTTACAGGGTGTCCCACATTATTTCGGATCGTTTATGGCTTTTCGTTGCGATTTTCGGGACTAATCTGAAAATTTTAAAAGAACGAATCATTTTAAAAAATTGTACAAGTTTAAAATAAAAATTTGCACGCTTTCCAGTATTATATGCGTAATTTGGCGTCAAAGCTTGGAGATAATCCAATATGATATGGGACGCTCTGTTTGCATTGTCTGCCTTTTTATGGATTTTTAATCATATTATTTGTTTTTAAAGTTCACCCAAATTAAAAAAACATTGGCGAAATCTGTAAATGTATTTTTAATATGAAATGTTACTTGAAAGAGGAAGCGTACTAGAAGCTTGGTATTATAATATTGATAAATCATATTTGTTGCAGGTATATAGTATGCGGAGTTGTAGGATTGTTAATAGTTCTAAACCTGGGACTTCTAGGTAACATTTGGTTCAGTTCATTACATACAATTAAGATTAGTATCAGATCAGCTTCTCATAATATAGATTTATATTAAGGTCGTTTTGTCTAGTTTTACATACAATTTAAATTAGTATCAGATCAGTTTCTCATAATATAGATTTTTATTAAGGTCGTTATGTCTAGTTTTACATACAATTTAAGTTAGTATCAGATCAGCTTCTCATAATATAGATTTATATTAAGGTCGTTATGTCTAGTTTTACATACAATTAAGATTAGTATCAGATCAGCTTCTCGTAATATAGATTTATATTAAGGTCGTTATGTCTAGATTTACATACAATTTAAATTAGTATCAGATCAGTTTCTCATAATATAGATTTATATTAGGGTCCTTATGTTTAGTTTTTTTTTGAAAATATACACCCGACCCATGCTAATATGACAGGAAGAAGACGACCCATGCTAATATGACAGGAAGAAGACGACCCATGCTAATATGAGAGGAAGAAGACGACCCACCAAGAAAATATTACATTCTTCTTGACTTTGTCGCACACTTTTCATACAACGTGCGAACATTGTGTAAATTATCCATTATTTGTATATTTTGTAATTTATTTAATTTATTTAAGGAGTTGTTCGATTAGTCATTCTTCTTGTTCTTCTGGCACTCTCTTGCATTCTGGCATTTCTGCTCGCACTCTATTCAAACTCCAGGTAGATCAGTATTTATTCAAACTCCAGGTATATCAGTATATATTCAAACTCCAGGTATATCAGTAAATTCTGTCTTCAGGTATATCTTCAAACTATAGGAACATAAGTTTTTTTCAAACTCCAGGTAGATCCGTATATATTCAAACTCCAGGTAGATTAGTATAAATTCAAACTTCAGGTATATTAGTATATATTCAAACTCCAGGTAGATAAGTTTTTATTCAAGCTCTATGTAGATCCGTATATATTCAAACTCCAGGTATATTAGTATATATTCAAACTCCAGGTAGATAAGTTTTTATTCAAGCTCCATGTAGATCCGTATATATTCAAACTCCAGGTAGATTAGTATATATTCAAACTCCAGGTAGATTAGTATATATTCAAACTCCAGGTAGATTAGTATAAATTCAAACTCCAGGTATATTAGTATATATTCAAACTCCAGGTATATCAGTATATATTCAAACTCCAGGTAGATTAGTATATATATTTAAACTTCAGGTATATTAGTATATATTCAAACTCCAGGTAGATTAGTATATATTCAAACTTCAGGTAGATCAGTATATATTCAAACTCCAGGTATATATTTAAACTACAGGTAGATAAGTTTTTATTCAAACTACAGGGAGGTCATATTCAAACTCCAGGTATATCAGTATATATTCAAACTCCAGGTTACCATATAAGAGGTGTGACCAATAAGTTTTGCAAAAAAAAATAGAAGTACTTCTAGAGACATCTCAGCTCTTTATTTTTTTTCAAAGCTTACTGTATTCATACCGGTTGTCTTCTCCCAAAGGAATTTATTCGTCAAACTTTTTATTTATATGTAATTTGCATTCTCCCGGAGGTTGTTTAGCTCCAGAACGTTTTTAATACGTACCTGGGAAAGAGGACACTTGGGATGCTCGATAGACAAAAATTTGGGCCTAAAACTTTCCAAATACAAAGCAGACACCTTTGACATTATAAAAAATGCATTAGAGGAGAATAATACGGACAAGGCAATTTAGTCTATATATAGACTAAAAGTGGAAAATTGTAACGGAGGGTGTTGCAGAAAGAGGAATTGTCTGAGCATGAAACTTCCACAAAACCCCACAAACAGTCCACAAAATTGAACATTTCTCAGACAAATTCACGGGCTTCTTAGTTTGATGAGTTTGGCATCTGAAATGGTGCTGCAAACAAAGTTGTAAAGCAAGATTTGAAAAATGGCAAAGATTTGGACAACATTTACTTCAAAGAGGTTTCGGGAAGAGAAATTAATTGGTTTGCTGAAACGTAGATTACAACTATAAAACCCCTCAAGGACCCTTTCTTGACTTTTTAAGTTCACCCAACCTCTAGAACACGCATAACTGCGTAAAGTTTGAGTCAATTGATGAAATATTTAGGCTGTGACAAGCAACGTTTACGAGCTCCGGGGGAAAGCTAATCCAACATATTATCTGATCGATATTAGCTGGTCAGAAAATTAAACTTGTATAAATTAAGTCAACTTTTAAAAAGAAAATAAAGGGCTGAGACGTCTAAATGTACAAAGTATAGAAGTAACAAAATTTCGTAAAACTTATAGGACACACCTTAGAACAGTATAAACACTGAGTTTTTAAGTTGTAATATAAAAGCATTAAATCAAATCAAATCACTTTCTCAAAATGAATTTTTATTTAAAACATAAACCTTCAGATAATTAATTAGGGATGAAGATTATCCTACAGAAAGCTAAGACGCATGCACATCATCGATATTAAAAAAATTATTTCATGAAATCAAATTAGTTTGAAACAAATTGATTCAACTTTTCTTAGATTAGTATCTTAAAGAAAATTTGGTGCTTGAATTACATTTGCTTTAACTACTTTTCTTTGAAATACAGCCATCCCTGTGTTTAGGAGAAAAGAGAAAATTACTTTATTCTTGCTTAGAAGCACTCTATTATATCAAAAACAAAACAAATTACATTTTTTATTCAACCTTTGCATTATTAATGCTATTCCGCCTCCTTGTCTTCCCAGCTGTCACAAGTTGATTTTCATTTAACATTGTTTTTCTAAATAATTATTTTTATTTTCAGGGTAGATGAAGCTGCTCAATGCTCAAGGATTTTTATCAACAGGTTGTTTAAATTTTTTTTGATAAAGAATTAGGATTATAAGGAAAACTAAACTGAATGTTGATATTAAAAAAAAAAATAATTTCTTCCGATTAAAGGTTTAAAACCAGACGCAAAAAAAATATTTTTTTGTAAATATAATCTCCAGGTTTAATTCAATAACTTTTTAACACCAAGATATTTGGCTCACAATTTACCTAAATAAGTTAATTGTTCAGGGGAGGGTTAACCCTTAAACCTGTAAATAAGAAACATATCAGTCCAACAAACCTGGACCTCACAGGTTAGTGAACAGTGAACACTTACTTCTTATCATTGCTTAGGATCCATTTCAGTTTGATGCGGATCTGGGGCCGGATCCTGGAACCGCACTGAACAAAATGGATCCGGATCCTAGGCACTAATTATATTAATATAATGTAATATTGAATAATGAATGTTGATTATTGAATCAACAATGTTGATGTGATATAATCGTTAGAAATAAAGTTCTTAATCAAGGTTTTGGAATTTTGTGTTGTTTAACCGGCCAGAGGAAGTGATGAAATGTTTAAATAAAAAGTATTTTCATCTCAACTAATTGTTTAGTAAAATGTAAAAAAAAATGATTTTTGCACGAAACGGGAAAAAAATTGTAGGTTTTTTCGCTGAACCGGAGAAAATAAATGATTTTTTGGGTAATAAGTATTAAGAAGAATTAAAACACTTGCCTTTGAATTTCCCATTTTTCCCCCTATTAATCAAAAAAAAAAACCCATCCGGCCCTCCCCCTTAATCTTCATAATCTTGCTTTTTGGAACATAATTAAATTCAAGGGTTAAAAAAAAAGGAATTTTGTTTAAATAGTATCAAAAGGGCAATAGGGAATCAAGTCAAGTTTTTCTGTTTTCATTTTTTTGCGCATTTTATTTTTGAAAATTTGATATTTGACATTTTCATTTATTTCAGGATCTTCTGCTATTGATGCATCACTCCAGGAGATGATAGATAATATAATTAAGAATTATGTTTTGAACTGGTATTCATCTGTTTCAAGTAATCAACAGGTAAATCGGAGTTGGACACTTGTACGAAGTTTCGTTAATTTTGAACCCTTGATATTTAATGAGGATGAATGCTTGATTACTTAATGAAAGTTATCCCTGCAGAGAGCAAAATATAACTACCACGGTATATTAAAGGTATCCCTGCAGAGAACAGAATATGACTACCACGGTATATTAAAGGTATCCCTGCATAGTGCAAAATATGACTACCACGGTATATTAAAGGTATCCCTGCAGAGTGCAAAATATGACTACCACGGTATATTAAAGGTATCCCTGCAGAGTGCAAAATATGACTACCACGGTTTATTAAAGGTATCCCTGTAGAGTGCAGAATATGACTACCACGGTTTATTAAAGGTATCCCTGCAGAGTGCAGAATATGACTACCACGGTGTATTAAAGGTATCCCTTCATAGTGCAGAATATGAATACCACGGTATATTAAAGAAGAATTGAATTAATCCATAGGATGGAAATCCCGAGATTCACAACACTTAAGTGAAAAAAGAACATGTTTGATAAAAAAAAAATATTATCATTAAAGTATTATTTTTACGATAATAAAACTAACGACTTTCCTTGCAGACATATCAAGATCGACATAAACATTTAACATTTAACATTTAACATTTAAACAAGATAAGAAGGCAAAAACACGAACATATCACATCAAGCCTAGGTCATAAGTTCATAGCAACAAACCGGCGTCGAACAATTCGACCGATACATCACAAAAATGACTGACATTAATTTTTCATATACTCTTTGCAGTTACTTGTGTTGAATGTTGATATACTCCCTTTCTGTAATCCGTACCTCTAATTTGAGGTATTGTGACCACTGATCAGCTTAAAATAAATAAAAACATATTTTTTTTCAGTTTCCGTCAGAAGTTCGGAACTGCTTATCTCGCGCGTTTTCGTTGTTATCCGAAAGGATAGGAGAGGTAGACTGGGTAGCTTATTTAACCAGAGGACTTGTCGACGACATAGCCAGTCATCTTAGGTATATATTACTCCACTTATAGTTGCTAATCATTCGCTGTTTGTCTATGTTTATTTGTGCTCAAACTAGTTTAAATTAAAAAACCTGATGTACAACTTAATATCCGTATCAAATGTCCAATAGATTTATTTCAAATAAGTGTTCTTAGAATCAAATTTTCCCCACAAATAAATATGGAAATTTAACTTGTTAAGTATTTTTATACTCTGTTTCAGACTGTTTAAACTTGCCCGTGGCAGGTTTAAATCTCCACTGAATGAAGGAGAAGCTAGGCCGTCTGACCTTGAAAGCCTTTTCTTCGATGCCGAGGTGTGTAAGAACCTGATTCCTAACAGATAATTCTGAACTGGAAAAATGTCAGATTTTCTGAACTGATTTATAGATATATAGTTTAGTTTTTAATAAGAAAACTTGTTGATGTTTCCTGTTTTTAACCTGCATAATATAGAGTTGAAAATTGGATATTTGGCGAAGAAAATATTATTTTGGATGGTCACTTCTTCCCGCATTAAAATATCAATATTTTTGATGAAATATCTTGATAAAAATCATTTATATTTAGAAGAAAAAAAATTTTAAGAGGGGTAAAATCTTTCCAGAATCAACCCCATCTTCTTTCTGCCCATATATTCTTATCTTTAACTTAAAATGAAGATTAAAACAAAAATTAAAGCGGGGCATCGAAAGACAATTTTTTTAGATTGATAAATTAAAGTTGTAAAAAAATTCTGATACATTTGAAATTTTTGAAATAAATGAGACTTAGGATCTCTATTTTCATTGTGTGCACAATGACCACAATACCTACTTAACATTTAAACATTGCAATGTTCATTAGTAGTGCACTGATTGGAACACCCTCACCCCCCTATCTTAAAAATATATTTTCTAGATTGAGATGGAAGGAAATATATGTAGAGACTCCGTCTGTTTAGAAGCAGAGAGCGAGCTTAAATATCTTCAGGAACAATCGTAAATCCAACGATATTTATGTCGATTAATATCTTCTTTCAATTACACAAATGATAAAAAAAGTTCCTTTCATCATTTCTAATAGCATTGATTTAATTACTAAGTTTTAACTAAATTTTCGAGCGTCTAATCACCATTGATAATGGCTGAACTATCTTAACAACGGACATTGTCAAGTCAAAATTTGGATCCGCTAGATTCGCAATATTTGCGTCGTTAACGATTTCTAAAATATCTTCTTCTCACGTCGGTAATAAGATTGAGATCGTTAACGAACATTAACTTTAAAAACTAATGGAAAATACCGTTAAATAAACGCAATGTTCAGTTATTATTAGCTATGGAGGACGGAGATCTGGAAAGTTGGTCTTTTGAACGATTTTAGCTAACCGTTAACGAACTATTCGAAAAAGACTGAACGTGTCAAGTTCTACCTTAAAAATAGGTTCCCTGCAACTGTAAACATGAGCGGCTTTAGGATTTAAGCTTATCACAAAAAGCGCGCGCGCGCGCGCACTTTTGCTCAGATTCCTTCAAAACCAAAAAATGCATGTAATATACATAATTCTGAGTTTGCATGCAAAAAATCAGCCTCATACGACAATTCTAAATTATGTTTAACCACTGTTTAAATTTTCCGGAGAGTAATACGTTTTGTGGCCCCCCCTTTAGTTTTCTTGAAACAAAGGCATTGAAAACACTGTTGTCCGAAATTGAGGCATCGTCATTCTTTCCAGCTTGACCAACCTGTCGGTGGTCATAGATGACCTGTTCCAGGCACCCCCCCCCCTTAATTTCACTTAGGGGGGAATTGACTGCCCCCCCCCCTGAAGCCGCCTTTGACTGTAAACTCGTCTCTCTGAAAAATTAATTAATATACTAATTTCAGGCAATATTGGAGACAAATTACATGCTTATGGATTTACCATCAGATCGTTCTATTTTAAGAGTTTTTGTCGTCGTCACAAGCATTTAATTATTTAATCGATTAAAAGTTATTGTATTGATTTTCAAATTTTTTGTTTTCTGGTAAATCTTAAGTATTTTTATCCTCAATGTTATATTAGAAGCATTATCAAGAAAGATCAGGTTTCTAAGTATCCTTGATAGACTTTTCCTTATTTAAATTTCAGAAACGCTTTTAATTGTTGAACACTTCGTTTGCGAGCTGTTTTATATCTTAAAAAAAATAATAATGTTGACTTTTTTTTAAATCACAGGGAATACATTTTTATTTGCAAATTTTTAAAAACTACTTTGGATGTAAAATATGGGGTATTCTCGCAAGGCACTAGTATCGTCAGCGGAGTCGAGTTCACAGTGTTTGCGAGCGTACACTTCAGATTTATGGGAAGCCGAACAATGATTGAGAAATATAAAGAGCAAGATTTATGTCCTCGATGAACAGTCAAAATTTTAAAGGGTTCCGTTGTAAATCGGGCATTGTCATCTTTTCATTGGAAAGTCACTTAAAATTACGCTTACAGTCCATTTGAATATTTTAAAGTGAACTGATTTCGTTTGATTTGAGATTTGTTAAACTAGGATCTATCCGATCTTCTCCTTTACCTGCTTCTACCACAGGAGGAGTTTGAATCAGGTGACCATGCAGAATAATTAAATGACCACAATAAGTGTTACTAAATCAACATTTGGGATTGAATTGGATGGAATATATGGTCCCCAGGAATATTCTAGATGATCACAATAAAGTCATATTCTGACATTAAAATCTGAAGTTAGAAACGAGCGTTTTGCTGCTTTGAAATCTCCATATCAAGGACTTGAACAAAGCAAGTGGTATTGTATCGTAAAACCAGAGGTCAACGATTTTCCAATAGTAAATGCATATTTTTCATAATTGTGAAGAAATCGAATGAAAATTTAGATGCAAAAATGCATCACACTTCTTACGTTTTGTATTTGTAACATAAAATGTAAAAAGTGTGTGTAATCTTGCTTCCGAATCTTTTGCAATGTGCATGTGAAATCAGATATCTTTAAATAATAACTTATCATACCACTGCAGTAATTTGATATAACAAAAAACAGGAGTTACTCATACATTGCTGTAATTCTCAGGTTCTGTGAGAACTTTAACCCGTGAGATATTAAGCTGTTCTGTTCTTCAACCTTTGATTCATCTTCTATCTGACCCAGATGTTATCAATCAAAACATTGTATGGGCACTCAGGGACTTCGAGGTAAGGGGGGGGGGGGCATGGTTACTAGTCCAAAGTCTTTATCGGTTCAGAATATTACTGACCCCTGCTCCACTTTGAATTCTGTCTGATAAAGAGTTTGTTGCAATATGTCTTGCACGCTCTTATTTTTACGGCTCTGGCCACAGCGTTCAAAAGTGTCTTTACTTAATATAGATGTATCTAATAACACTGTTACGTGCTTTTTGTATAGTTGAACTTGGGGGGGGGGGGGGTTGTTATATACTTGGTTATAAAGGGTGGATATATTTATAGTTTTCTTAGAAAACCTTATTTTTATTCCTAATTTTCTTAGGTTCGTAGTGATGTCTTCATTTCTACTCTTCGGCACTCGGATAACGTTGGTGAGCTAGAGGCGTGTCGATCATCAGTAGTGAAGGAGATATCTAGGCTTAGGTTGGATTATTAGATAACATGAAACCACAGAGATCTTACAAAAAAACATCAACAAAACATACGAATTTTTTTTACTAGCTGTCAAGTTTAAAAACTATTTTTCAGACATTCTAAGATTAAGTTTAAAATTCAACAGTATTACGAATGCAGATTGCAGAAACGCTAATTTATTGTATACTTGATAAGCACGGTATACTACTATTTTTTTAGATCAAGAGACTCCCAAGCAGATGATACTGAAGAAGCAAAGGATCAGCTTAATTCTCTCCTTTATCTTAAAAAGGTAGTAAGCCCTTAGCCGAAAAACTATTAGAACTATTAGAGCGGCCATACTTGTTTTTCTGTTAAGGTTTTACATAAGATGAAGATAAGTCTTTATAATTTTTAACAGAGGTCGAAGCTTTGATTGGAGTATTATAAATGTTGAATTTTGCAATAATTATTATAATGCATCGAACAATACTTAATATTTCAATATTTACCAAGTGGAATATTTAAAGTTAGAAACTGTTTGGATTTCCATCAAATTCTGGAATTTCAATTTGAATAAAATAATATTCTAGTTGAATTCCAGAGAAGAGAAGTTGAATTTAAATATTTCTTTTATTTAAAGAAATAAGAAGTAGAATAGTTGATTAAGAGAAGAATAAATCTCCTGAAAGTTTACCAATAAAGAGATGTCAGGCTGAAAAGCCTTAATCTGAAAGGGATCGTGATGGCGAACCCCGGTTAAATCATTTTGTCCACGGGAATTTCCAGCTTCTTGAATTGAATTTAGGTGTTTTAAACACCTACCTGTTAGTTAAGAATCTTATTACTAACATCAGAACGAAGGTTAGGATTTTCAGATCACTCCCCCCCCCCTATTTTTCCCCTATTTCCCCCCCATTTTATCATATTTTCCCTTATTGCTAATATTTTTCACATTTTTTTGGTATCATGATATTCCCAAATGTATTGAAATTGGCCAAACCCACCCTTCCCTTTTTCATAATTACGTAATTACGTCGGACTTGTTTACACTTTGGTTTGCAAGCTGTTTTATATTCAAGAATTATTAACATTCACTTTCAAATAAAAGTCTCAGAAATTAAATATTTAAGTTCGAATTAAAAAAATAAACTGTTGGATATTGAAACATATGTGACGTCAGCTGTGCTGCGTTAACACTGTAGTGTACGCGTTAGCGTACACTATGGCTTTACGGAAACTCGAACATCATTGAAGAGATAAACAGTAAACATACAGCTGGCCTTGATGATCACTGTTATCAGTCAAAGGTTTAAAGGGTATCATTTAATATTGGGCATCACCATCTTTGCATGGAGGGTAAATTAAAATAATGCTTACAGCCCCTTTAAGATAAATATGATCATTATTTAATACAGGTTGTTGACACCAGGATCAACCGCCTTCAGTCTGGGTTTAGTAGCAACAGCTATGGGATCCCAGCTAACATTGACTGGTCCTCAAAAATTAGGTATTTTTTAGACAAGTTTTGATTAAGCAAAGAAATTAGTTAATGACCAGACTTTTTTCGTTTATTTTTAAGAAAATTTATTTTTTTAATTTGATAAAATTTTTTAGTAAAAAAGAATAATTAGATAATATCTTTTTTATAGAATTTTTAAATATTTTTGTTAAATATTTTTTTTTCTAACTCAAAACAATTAAAATTTATTTTTAAACATTTAAAAAAAGGAAAAAAGAAGGGAATGTTCAGTGTTCACCCTGTCTACACTGTTTTTCAAAACAGGGTAGACAAATTTTAACTTTGTTTGTGTCCCGACAGATTCTGAGCAATTTTCCGTGTAGAAGTTTCCAGCGCAGAAAAAAGTTTCAAAATGCAAGAATAATAACCTACTTTTGAATTCTAGAACCAACCTGTATTTTTAGTACTACAACAAAAAACTAATCCCGTATATTTTAGTACCACTACAAAACTGTTAAACTAAACCTGTATATTTTAGTATTTTATACTTATAAACTAAACCTATATATTTTAGTACCACTAGAAAACTGTTGAACTAAACCTGTATATTTTAGTATTTTATACTTATAAACTAAACCTATATATTTTAGTACCACTAGAAAACTGTTGAACTAAACCTGTATATTTTAGTACTACCACAAAACTGTTAAACTAAACCTGTATATTTTAGTATTTTATACTTATAAACTAAACCTGTATATTTTATTACTACTCCAAAACAAAACTGTATACTAAACCTGTATATTGTAGTACTACAAAACAAAACTTTTAAACTAAACCTGTATATTTTGGTGCTTTCACAAAATTCTTAAACTAAACCTGTATATTTTAGTACTTCCACAAAACTGTTAAACTAAACCTGTATATTTTAGCACTACCACAATACTGTTCAACTTAACCTGTATATTTTAGTGCTTTCACAAAACTATTAAACTAAACTTTACTTTTACTTTTTCTCCCACAACTGTTAAACTAAACCTGTATTTTTAAATACTACCCAAAATCTGATAAACTAAACTCGTATATTTTAGTACTAATACAAAACTGTTAACTACATCTGTACTTTTAAGTACTATCCAAAAACTGGTAAACTAAACCTGTACATTTTAATAATAACAAAATATTTGTAACTAAACATATACTTTTCAGTAATACAACACAACTGTCAAACTAAACCTGTTTATTTAAGTACTTCTACAAAACTGTTGAACTAGACCTGTTCTTTTTAGTACTACCACAAAACTGTTAAATTAAACCTAGCGTAAAATTTAGTAAACTGTTAAGCTAAAACTGTATATAGTGTATATTTTAGTAAACTCTTAAACTAAACCTGTTTACTGTATATTGTATATTTTAGTAAACTCTTAAACTAAACCTGTATACTGTATATTGTATATTTTAGTAAACTGTTAAACTTAACCTGTATGTTTACTGTATATTGTATATTTTAGTAAACTGTTAAACTAAACCTGTATACTGTATCTATATATAAATTTGGCTTGTCTGTCTGTTTGTTTGCCTGTTTGTTTGTTTGTTTGTATCCAATAAACGTCAAAACGGCTGAACCGATCGGGCCCAAATTTTTTGTGGGACATCTAGGGACCCCAGGGAAGGTTTATGAATCATCAAAATTTCAATTATTTGTCTCCATCAAAATTTGATCGTCATTAAATTTTTAAAAATTTTGAAAATCCGCGAAATTTTTTGTGAAAATCCGCGAATTTTTTTTGTTTTGTTTTACGATGTACACAAAGAGAACATGTTCAAAATTAATTTAGGAGATGGGCGCGAAGGCGAAGCGCCCTCTAAGGCTAGAAAGAAGGGCGCGAAGCGCCTTGAATTTCTAGTAGTGTATATTTTATTAAACTGTTAAACTAAACCTGTATACTGTATATTGTATATTTTAGTAAACTGTTAAACTAAACATGTATACTGTATAGTGTATATTTTAGTGAACTGTTAAACTAAACCTGTATACTGTATATAGTGTATATTTTAGTAAACTGTTAAACTAAACCTGTATACTGTATAGTGTATATTTTAGTAAACTGTTAAACTAAACCTGTATACTGTATAGTGTATATTTTAGTAAACTGTTAAACTAAACCTGTATATAGTGTATATTTTAGTAAACTGTTAAACTAAACCTGTATATAGTGTATATTTTAGTATACTGTTAAATCAAACCTGTTTAAAGTGTATATTTTTGTAAACTGTTAAACTAAACCTGTATACTGTATAGTGTATATTTTAGTAAACTGTTGAACTAAACCTGTATATAGTGTATATTTTAGTAAACTGTTAAACTAAACCTGTATACTGTATAGTGTATATTTTAGTAAACTGTTAAACTAAACCTGCATATAGTGTATATTTTAGTAAACTGTTAAACTAAACCTATATACTGTATAGTATATATTTTAGTGCTTCCACAAAGCTGTTGAACCTGCCCCTGGAAGTTTTACTAAAGAGCAATATTTCACTATCATACTTCATAGACTATATGTCTTCTATAGGTAAAGTCAACCCTTGATGGGACTTGAGACATTATTAAAAATACCCTTCATCTATAAAGTGGCATGTCCGATTTACAACGTCTCCCTATAAACCTTTGTCTGATCTATTATTATTGCGATATTCTCATTCTTCAAAAAAAAATAGATTATTTTTAAATTTGTGATATCTATGTAAACGCAAATTTATGCTGCTAACTGTTAGATAGAAAAGCGAAGATATCTTCCTCATTGTTTCTCTTTGAAAAAGGTCATGTCACTCTTTTAAATTGAGAGTCGCGTGAAACTACGTCTGATGTCCGTTTATTGGATCTTCATGAAATAGGAAACTAGTTGCAGAAGTTAAAAAAAAAAAAATATGAAAATTATATTTAATAATCTACCGTTTCATGATTTAATAAGAAATGGTTTTTTCTAAAAAAAACTAAAGTTCAGGAAGAAACTTAAAGAAAAAGATTCCTAGAAGTTGTGTTTGATATTATTTTGTATTCAGGTTGCCAGTATGTTGTTTACTTTTATTTGAACATCGAAGGATGGAAGGTTGCAGCTGAGCAGGAGCTACAAGCTCTAGAACTACAGTTGCTTAGACAGGTTGGAGACAAAGTTTTATTAAGGTCATTAGGATACCTCCCTGGAACTAAATAAGGGTGAAATAATTTCATCGAAACTATCAAATCCTTTTTTGCACCAACAAAAAATTGTACAGTAATAAATTTTAAGTAACATCATGAAAGAAAAATAATTTAAAAATCAAAACTAATTCAGTAATTGACGATTTAAAACAAATAGAGATCATAAGGGGGATCGAATTTTCAATTTTTTTTCAAAACATGCTAATTTGGATATCAAAAAATGCGCTTCGAACCGCTGAATACCGACAATTTTTTTCGTTTTTAGATTTTTCAAAAAAAAAATTGTATAATGCTAAGAAACTTGTTATTTGATACTCCCTGACAAATATCGTTAAGAAACGATTTTTTGCTTATAATTTGCTTTATTTTCAAGGAAGTTATAAATGTTTTTGAAATTAGTGCTTTCATAATTTGGGATAATTTGGGACCATCTTGATTTACTTGAACAAAATTTTCATTCTTACTTTCAAGTGATTTTATTTTCACAAAAAAAGCAAAAATCTAAATATGTTTCAAAAATATATCAACCAAAACATTTGAACTGGTGCAAGGTGGATTTGAGCATTTTTTTCAAAAACGTGCCAAAAATTTCACCCTTACTCAAAGAAGTTACAAATTGACTAAAAAATACTTTTCTCCAACACCGATATCAAGTACTAGTAGATATGATAAGATGAGAGACGGGTATAAAGTTCCTCGAAAACAACTTGTTGAATTAATAAGTAAAAATTCAGTAAAAAGTTGCTGGGGAAAAAAATGCCTGAATATTCGCTATTTTCCCAAAAATATCTTCATACTTAAAATGTCCGATCTTGGGGGTGCGAACACACATGTATCATTTTGGCAAAGTTAAGGAAGTCCTGGCTCTGATGCATTTTGTTTCTCCAGAGTAATTGATGCCGGAGTCTCATTTTTCGTTTTTTAGGCGCAATCGGTTTAAAATTTCCGATGTAATATATCTAATAAACACTTTTTAAAATGTATCAACAAATTAAATGTTTGATTTTTGAAAATTGTTTGTGCCGTACTACATTCATAAGATTTTCGAATTTTTTTAGTTATTCATGTATATTACAGAAAATGCATTCAAAATTGAGGCTCTAGCATTAGAGACACCCAGTAATGAACGCCTCGCCCAACATATAGGGTTATAAGATGTTAAATGTGATTCGCAAAACACACATTTTAAAACTTAAAAAATATGCAAAATTGCATAAAAATACTGTACATTTCACATAAAAAATAGATTTTAATAATAATAATCTTTTAGAGCGGTTTTAGTACATTCTGTTTCTCATTTTAAAAACATTAAATGTATGCTGAGATGGAATTTAAAGAATTTGAGCCGCGGTTTAAATCCGCCAAAACCCGGTTTAAATTAAGCGCCGGCTTAAATCTTGAAACATTTGATACAATTTTAAGTGGAACCAACCATATTTAAGCCGCGGCTCAAATTCTTTAAATTCGGCCACTGGAGATTTATTAATATTCATATCCCGATGCAGTTGATGTTTTTCCTTTGTTTGCATTAGCTAGAACTTTGCATATATGTTGAAAGGAATCGGACAGGTTATTAAAAGTTTGTAATTTTGCATCGGTTGGTGAAGTTATTTTTTTCATTTTAATTTTAAGCAAAGAGCATTCTTGTAAATGATTAAAGTTTTTGAATCACGCGTAGATTTTTTTTTGCTAAAAATGGTTCTTTTTCGTCATGATGTTTAATTCTGAATTCTAGGAGGAAATCCTGAGAACTGAAGAAACGGCAAAAGAGAGAAGCATGAGGTATAGACGTGCTTGCTAAACTTTCTTTACTATTGAAACAAACTAAGCTAGACGGGAATTTTTGTGTTCGTTATTTGACAAAGTCTAGGACTAGCTGCTAAACTCTATATCCATTGGACAAACTTTAAAGATGGCCAGCGTAAATTCTTAAAATGACGAATCCATTAATCTTAAATCCACTAATGACAACAATTTACATCTGAAAATAAATTAACGTAAGGAACTCAGACTTAGCCGGAGATCCAACACAATAGTTTGCTCTTGCCTTTTATTCATAGTATCCATCATAATTAATAATTATTATAATTAAGTTGGCGAGTTAAAATAAAAGACGTCCTAAAATAGTCGACCTATTTGGTTAACGGGTTTACCAATCGAAATTTTGGAAATCGGTGAAGGGGTTTGAGAGTTACATGATTTACAAACAATCAAATATAATATATATATATATATATATATATGAGGGTGCAATTTGAATATTACAATCTTGCAATGCAAAGTTTGAAAGTGTAACTTGGTTTGATGAATTTTAATATTAAATGTTGTGAACAAATTTCTTATTTTCTCTTCACACCTTTGATCATGGTATATAAGTTAGGTTAATACATTTAACAGTAAAAGATGTAAGCTCTTTAAAATGTGGAAAAATACGGTTAGTTTTCAATGATGGGAAAGAAAATTGTCTCAAACTTTTAGAAACCAATATTTTTGTTGTCATGCCAATGATAAAAATGGATCAAAAATCTTTATATTCCTTAACAACCCCGCGTGATTATACTCAGTTTATGTTAAGATAGACAGTGAGACTCCCCCAGGGGCGGGGGGGGGGGGGGGGTACATTGACCTACTGGTTGATAAAAATATCTTTCGGGCTGTGAAACGAATAAAATACTTTTTATGAAAAAAACTAATTTGTTTCAAACCAAAATTGAAATAAAAACGATCATCTAAAATAAAAAAAGAAAAACATTTTTGCTCTTTGACGTTAAACATGAATCATGATTTTATTGGATTTTAATCCCCAGCTAGTCTCTACAGCATTCATCTTGTGTGTAGGCAGGGGTACAATGAGAAGGAATCTGCAGCTCTTGAAAATATTAGGAAAATTATTTTGATTTATTATTATCTATATTACTGAACTTTAATTTATTCTTATTTTAGTGCAATTTACTTAGAGCTTGATTATATGAAATTTTATTTTATTACAAACTGAATATGAATATGAATTTGAAAAGGTATGATGTAATATTGAAATCTGTATAAATTTGTTAAGAGAATTTAAGATTTCAATCTCAAAAAGCAAACATTAAATATTTGATATTGAAATAATTTAAAATGTTTTTCTTATAAGATAATCTCGTAATTATTAGATATTTTTCTATAGTAAAGTTTAGGAGATCGATTCGTTAATAATCTGAATAATGATTGTCTAAAGAGAGGCTGCTTTATCTATCTACCAGGAGTATTTGTCGGATAAAGCTACGCCAAGGATAAACCTTGAGGACACCTTATCCAAGAGACTTGTTCTGAAAATAAGGAAAACTTTTCGGTTTATCGGATTCTTCTTCATCAAAATGATATGTTTTTGATATTCCCTCAAGTATAAAATAACGACATTTTTAAAGACCAGCCCTATACATTCATGGTCGAAATTAGAATGAAAGTAGAAATTTATTACTTGGATACTTTTTATTTATTTGCAACGTTTTTTTTTACTTTTAAAAATTTTGTTCTATGGGTAGTTTAGTTTAGATGGTTACATAATGTGTTACTGTTAAGCGGTCGAAACTTTTTTGAAAAATTAACTGAAAGTTATTTTGCGTAGAACTGAAACTCCTGATCCTGGATGGTTTGATGAAGTAGCAGGTAACCGTATTAATTTTTTATTTAAAAATATCAAAGAACAAAGAAAAATTTATCTTTATTTTATATTCAAATTTTTAATGTTTTAACTTTTTCAAGGGCTGTTTATATGTAAGAATTGTTTTAAATTTTATACCAAGTCTTTTTTTCAAGAATTTGGGTGTAAGATCAAACTGGAGGAGAAATAAGGTCTCATAGTCTTCAGTAATTCACTAACTGTCCCTTAAGGCTAGATTGAAGTGATTGGTTTTAGCTTTGTAAAAATTTTTATAAGAAATGCATTTTTTAACAAGTCCTGATCAATATTCCAAATAATTTATTTTGATGATATCAGCTGTTTTGAAACAGATAATTTTTTATAATGTTTCCAAAACGCTTAAAAATTGAGTATTTCTTTTTCTAAACACAACTTTCTTTTTAACGTCTTGCACACTGCAGTCATTTATTCATAGTTGAACATTTGTCTTTTATTTGATAGTGGATTAATTTTGTTGATCATATACACACACAGAGCTGAAAACTTTAGAACTGTGGATATCAAGATCAATGCTTGATTTCTTCTTTGTATTTATCTTAAGGTTTTTTTTTACGTATTTATTTTTAGATTTTAAATTTTTAACAATATTCTTTAAATAATTATATGGTAGCATATGCAAATATTTCGACATTTCTATATTCCTTGTTCTTCCTTTTCTTCTTTTTCGTAAATCTTTCAATCATATTTCGGCTAATTTTGTAAAAAGAAATTTGTTGAGACATCCTGGCAGTTTGCCGAAACTGACAGTTTTAGAACTATATGTAGGTTAAGATGCCTTACTTTTTCTTTTTTATAGTTCTTTTGGGTGAAATGGTGGGGTAACTCTCCCAGTCTCATCTTCAATTCTGTCTTCATTTGTCATCCAAAAAATTGATAGTGTAAAGCTTATCATCAGAGATTTCCCTTCCAATTTTTCTTGTTCGATTTTCTTTTTTCTTCTTGTTTCTAAGCTTTGAGGCCTCTCCAAATAGTTCTTGTGACATCGAGTTGTGGAGCAGTTAGGAGAAAATTAAGGAGGTTCTGAGGAGGAAGGGTTTGAGAGATTTCAGTAGAAGCTTCCTGCTTTCCTTCGTGTTAAAGTCTTTCCGACTAAGCGGAATTTTAAGGAAACCCATAACTGCACCGCTTATGCAAAATGGGGAGTTGAAAGCCTTAAAGCACCATCAGGTGGAATCTTCGGTTGTAGAAACCGAACAGCCAATCGAAGCAATAAATGACAGAACTCAGTAAGGATATCCAAAGAGTGAATTAAGCAGAAAATCGTAAGTGTCGACAGTGGATGCAGAGATTTAGCGATCGGGATTAAAGTTTTCAGTTCAGTGCACACATAGAAAATGAAAGAATGATAATTTCGAAATTTAATATTTAAGTTTAACAGCCCCAATTCAACATTTAAAGAGATTATATATTTTCTAATTAAAGTGAAATTTTATCTTTCTTATTCCCTTTTCTATAAAATTTGTTTAAACTGTTAAAAACTTCTACTTTATTCAAATTTCCAGCAACAATTAACACTGACGATTTCTGAACAAAGTGCATGGAGGAGCTGTAAACCGATATATTACCATACTGCCTCTCTGTGGTCATTTGTACACACATTTTACGTCATTTGCTCTTTAGTCATTTACTCTTGAACATTGACTTCAAACGTCTTACATCGTATGATATTATAAACATTGTCACCTAACAAAGCCCTTTTAAGAAGGGTTTATAAACCCGCCAAAGAAGCTACTTAATAAGAAAACACTGTAAAGGGTTCCTCTGTGAATCTGAGGGTCACTTGAAACTACATTTAAAATCCCTTTCAGGAATAATCTACCATCAACTGGAGACGGATGAAAAGTATCTTTTCAACTTTAAACGAAGCAACGGATATCTTAAACTATTGGCAGAGCTAGATATCAAGGTAAATTTAAAATAAAATCTAAAAATCGTATTTTTTTAAGAAACGGTAAAGGAAATTTACTTCCATCAACACTCAACAGTTTGACCAACTAAACATTAAGCGGCCATGTTCGAATGTAACGTAGAAATTTATTTTTCTAAAATGTTTTTTGTTGTTGTATACAAAGTATAATGTACATTTATATAACATTTTAGAATGAATATATAAAACTTTATACAAAGTATAAATATAGAAGTTAATAAAATATTTTCTGGAATTTGAGTGAATTTAGCTAGGGAATCATGGGTTTAGTATGTTCTTCAAAAAGGATAATAATTATTTACAAACCCTTGTTGAGGGAGTTTTTCTTTGTCAAGGGTTTCTAAAAACCAATGTTGGTTAATGAATCCCGTAGTTAATTGAAATTTGTTATTTACCGAAAAAGTACTTACAATTTTACCGTCTGAAGTGCGCGAACTTTTTTTCAACTTTGTAGAGCGTGATGTTATTTAACCTTATTGTCCCAAGGGACAGTTAATTAACATAACATTCCTGGCAGGGAAATCATAAAGGCAATAAAAGACACACATCTGGGATGCTTGTGTGATATCGGATTCCAAGTCTAAACTTCCTTTTAATGATGTGTCATCATATGATGTTTAAAAAAATGAGAATTGAGCTATAAATTGTGTACTCGGGTTGCCGAGTTACGAAGTTGTTGAAAGTAAACTTTTGGCCTCGAGGTTTAATCTTCAAACTATAAAAAGTTTTTTAGTTGAAAAGATTTAAACATCAATCTAACAAAGTTTGTAAGATGTTAACAGAAATGCAGGCTAATATCATTTCATATTAATTTTCTTTAAATTAAAAGATATGAGCTTAGCACATCTCGGATCACCGTAGATAGAAATTTCTTATTATTTATGCTTTTTTATTAATTAAGTTAGAGATGATATTATCCAAAACATTAAATATTTCCCACCTATTTGTTTTATAAGTTTTAACATATATGACCCATAAACGAGTGTATTTATGATAATATTATTAAGTGAAAATCGAAATAGATCCGAATTTTAGTGAAGTAAGGTAGTTTTTAGCCCAATTTCTTAAACATGCTAGCATAGGTACAACATATTAATTATAGGTCCTATCTATCTATCTACGCTGCTATGTTAGAGCGTAACTAAAGTGTGACTAGGGTTCTATCTATGATAGCACAACTAAGAAATTTGTCATTTATCTGTAATATTTCAACCTACTTTGCAACGCAGACGACAAGCACATTTAAAATTCAAAATTCCAGGTGTGTGGTTATGACGAAGATGAAGATGAAAGTCTTGGAAGTATTGGGGAGTCCTTAGGTAAATAATTCGTAACATTATTTTGAATCTTAAAATCAAACATTAAATGGTTTGTAATCATTTATTAGTCAGTTATCAACAATTTTAATTGTGGATTACCACTTTGACTCTGTTATCAAAATGGAAAAATTCCATTTAAACTTTTCTTAACAGTAGTATTTTATGATTGTTGATATAATAACCTTTTTTTAAAGTTAAGGGTTAAAATGTATTCAAATATTTTGAAATTAAAGGATCTCTTAGTTGCAAGCATTGTAAATATTATATATATATATGGAGGTTTTCTCAACTCTTCTAATCCATTCCAACCCACAGATCTCATGTTATTCTAAGTAAGTGGGTTTGCATTTGAATATTTGTTCTAACTTCTCGTCTTCTATTATTCAAAATAAGAAAGTTTAAGATAAATCATTAAAAGGTGTAGAGTAGAGTTGTTTCAAGGAAGGTTGAACTTAGATAAAAGTTTCTTTATATATGTGAAAGGAACTGTAGATTCATTTACATTGTGTTGTGTCCCTCCTCTCCTGTACAAACTTTGCTCAGCTTAAGTACAAACTCTAATTGAAGAACCGTGTGTTCTGGGAATCTCCAGGCTGGATTCTTAACTCCCAGAAACTTAAAACTTGAACATTTAAACATAAATATGTAAATATATAAATGGTTTTGTATTAAACCTTACTTAGTTACTAAGTTGTGCGACTTGGTTCTGTTTGGACTGGACTCTCCTGTGCCTATAATATTATTTTCTAATTGTGATACTCATCCTTTTAATGTTTTATGTTTTGATGGGATCATCCAATCTACAAACAAATTCCAAATTTACCAAAAACAACAAATGCTTTATGGCGAAATCTAGGTTTATGCAAAATAAATAGTGGTGGGAGGGATTTACGCATAAGATGACAAATTATGCATATTTCAATATCCCTTTACTGCTATTTAAAGAATGCAAACATACTTTTTTTAATTTTGAAAGTTGGTTCAATAAAATCGTTTAAAAGGAGTGTGCTCCAAAATAAATAGAAAAATGTCCTCTCAAAATTTGTTATTGCCGGAAAATGGCTGCTAAAGGTTTGGTTTTTCAAAGGTAAAATAAGGTTTTTAGGCCACCTTTTACTGGTGTATGTTAGGAAAAGTAAAAAAATTGGATCAGTCTTCGATCAATACAACTGTATGTTCTAAAGGAGAGCGTGTACAATGTGTTGTATGTTATTGTATGACCGTAAATGTTATCTATTAAGGTGAGAATAGTTCTAATGGGAGTGTAGAAACAACCAGTTGTAAAAGCATGGGTAAGTTCTCAGATTAAACATCTTGTAAGAATGTCCTTCAATTTTCTTGGATAATCCGGTTTTAGTTTTATATCTCAATATACAGACGGTTGTCCCGTCACGCTAAACTAAAGTAAATTGCACCTAATATTGAAATCTTATATGTTTTTATCATAACTCCTCTAATTGAAGAACAAAATGTTAGAATTTCTAGAATTTGACCAATTTTATATTTGCTTTTCTTATATTTGTGTTTAAAAGCAAAACTAGAGAAGCTACGAGGTTACAAAGTCTCACAAATACGTCGCATAGATTTTACATTCTCCCTCTTCTAGTTTGCAGTGCCGTTTTCTGCAATATGCACTTTCAGCATTTTTCATTCAAGGCCAGAATAGAATCCTATGAAAAAACAGGGACTAACATGATAGAAAATTCAAAGAAAAATTAATAGTTTAAGTGACCGGCAGTAATTTTAAATCGCTTTATCCGTATTTTTAACCATTTCACATTAATATTCCTGGCTTGGTTTATTTTGTGTTGATAGATAAACGTTTAAAAGTGATTATCTGTCTTAGTTTCTTAAACATTTACATATAAATACTTGTTTAAATGTTTGTGAATGTTGTTTAATGAAGATGCTATTCTTTTAACTAGGTTTGCTAAATTGTTAAATGTTTTATAGTTTTGTAGTTTTGTATTTTTGTATTTTTGTAGTATTGTATTTTTGTATTTTTGTATTTTTGTAGTATTGTAGTATTGTATTTTTGTATTTTTTCATTTTTTTACTTTTGTATTATTGTACCATTTTATTATTGTATTTTTGTGTATTTTTAAATTTTATATTTTTGTACTTTTGTATTATCGTATCATTTTATTATTGTATTTTTATTTTTTTGTGTATTTTTATATTTTTGTATTTTTGTATTTTTTTATTTTCGTATTTTTGTATATTTGTATTTTTGTATTTTTGTGTTTTTGTATTTTTGAATTTTTGTATTTTTTGTATTTTTTGTAATTTTGTTTTTTTGTATTTTTGTATTATTGTATTATTTATTATTGTATTTTTGTGTTTTTGTATTTTTTTATTTTTGTATATTTTTGTACTTTTGTATTATTGTATTTTTATATTTTTGTATTTTTGTACTTTTGTATTTTGAATTTTTGTATTGTCGTATTTTTGTTTGCCCTTTTAGTTTGTTTTGCAAGTTTTCTGTAAACAATTTCTCAAACACAGCAGTCCGTGCATCATCATCTCTTTCCAAACTAAATTTAAATTAATTTTGAATTAGTTTAATTTTTTATTTTTAATTAATTTTTTATTTAAGGTTATGTTCAGTTTATATAGACATCTTAATATGCTAATGATTTTCTTTCGAATAATCGTAAAGTCAAAAAAAACTTGGATTTTTCTTAGACGTGAATTTTAAAAGTTCTGAAGCTTCGAGTATTCATTTTTCAGATTTTGAATAAAGCTTTCATTAAAAGGTAGGAAAAGTGAAATATAAGATTTTATTCAGGTACAGAATCTGAATATGAGGGTTTAACGCGATATCCATCCTCAAATTTCATATCAAAGGAACAAACTTTTAAATCTAAAAAATATCCATAAATTTGTACAATTAGTAGATTTTTAACAGTTTTTCAAACAAATTAGATTAACAGCGTATGTGTCGTACGAATTAAAATTGTAATTTGTAATTTTACCGATCTTGAGATAAAATTGTTGTTTCTCTCAGTTTGAACCAGTTCCCCAAGTTGCCGGCAGGTCTTCTATTCAGGAGGTAAATAGAATATTGACACCAGCCATAAACTTTATACATGTTTAATCTTTATTGTTTAAAGGGATTGTTTTAGAATTGACAAGAAGTTTATTAAAACTATAGCACGAGACTTTAACTTGATAGTTTGTTATACCTTTATGATACTTTTTAAGCCCCCCGCGCGCACAAGTTTAGATATAAAGTTTAAATATTGGAATTTTTCTTAAATTTTTATAACAATCTCTTTGTGGAGAAAGTCACTATTGTTGAATTTATTCGGAAAATTTATTTGAAACTTTAAGAGAATTATTCATATTTACTCCAGATTAAGGCTGAAATAACAGGAGCTGAACTGGGAAGGGAAGCGAATGGAAAACAGTTTGCAATCTACGTTATATTTGTTAAAAAAGATGAAAACAGTTGGGAGGTTTCCAGGTACATATAGAACAGTTGGGAGGTGGAGGTTTCCAGATACATATGGAACAGTTTAGAGGTTTCGAGGTACATACAGAACAGTTTTGAGGTTTCCAGGTACACAAATAGAACAATTGGGAGGTTTCCAGGTACATATAAAACACTTGTGAGGTTTCAAGGTACATATAGAACAGTTGGGAGATTTCCAGGTAAGTATAGAACAGTCTGGAGGTTTCCAGATACATATAGAACAGTTGGGAGGTTTCCAGGTATATATAGAACAGTTGGGAGGTTTCCAGGTACATATAGAACAGTTGGGAGGTTGCCAGGTACATATAGAACAGTTGGAAGGTTTCCAGGTACATATAGAACAGTTTGAAGGTTTCCAGGTACATATAGAACAGTTTGAAGGTTTCTAGGTACACATATAGAACAGTTGGGAGGTTTTCAGGTACATATAGAACAGTTGGGAGGTTTCCAGGTACATATAGAACAGTTGGGAGGTTTCGAGCTACATAAAGCACAGTCGGGAGGTTTCCAGGTACATATAGAACCGTTGGGAGGTTTCCAGGTACATACATAGATGAAGTTGGGAGGTTTCTAGGTTCATATAGAACAGTTTGGAGGTTTCCAGGTACATATATAGATGAAGTTGGGAGGTTTCCAGGTACATATAGAACAGTTGGGAGGACTCAAGGTACATATAGGACAGTTGGGAGGTTTCCAGGTACGTAAAGAACAGTTAGGAGATGAAGGTTTCCAGATACATATGGAACCATTTAGAGGTTTCCAGGTACATACAGAACAGTTTTGAGGTTTTCAGGTACACAAATAGAACAATTGGGAGGTTTCCAGGTACATATGAAACACTTGTGAGGTTTCAAGGTACATATAGAACACTTCGGAGGTTTCCAGGTACGTAAAGAACATTTAGGAGATGGAGGTTTCCAGATACATATGGAACAGTTTAGAGGTTTCGAGGTACATACAGAACAGTTTTGAGGTTTCCAGGTACACAAATAGAACAATTGGGAGGTTTCCAGGTACATATAAAACAGTTGGTAGATTTCCAGGTAAGTATAGAACAGTCTGGAGGTTTCCAGATACATATGGAACAGTTTGGAGGTTTCCAGGTATTAAAAGAACAGACTTTTGCGTTAAGAAAGTATAAAGGTACAGATAAATCTTTTCTACCCACCTTTTATATAACTTTGAGATGTATCATGGTATAAACAGAACCGATTAGTAGTGTCAAGGTTAAGCTAACAGCAAGGAAGGAAGTATCCAGGTACATGAAGATTTAGGAATTTAGAGATTCAACTACGTATATAATAAAAAGAACGGTTGGGAAGCATCAAGATTACATGTAAACATAACGTTTTATTTCAGGCGATACAGTGATTTTCATTTCCTTCAAACTTCTTTGTGTGGACAGGTATTTTTTAAACCATAATGTTGATTAAAAATATTTTGAGTTTGTGCCTTTTTCGTGTATCAAGTGTGCCATTTAATAGGTTTTTACCCTATAAACCTCAAGGTCTTTGAGATGCTTCTTTAGCTGTGGGATCCTAGCAATTCATTTGAACAAAAAGCTCAATTGCATTTTTTCTTAAGATGTTTATGAGGATATTTTTAATAATGTCGTATATTTCTACAGATTATGGTGGATGAAAAGAATATAATCCGTCAGGATTAATCAAATAATTATCATCCCGGAAATTATTGTTTCTTTCTTTTATTATAAATAATGAAAATGTTCAGGGTAAAAATTATAATGTGATACCACCATTAATCAAAAGTTTTCATTTATTTTCATTGTTTTTGATCCAAGAAGAATTTTCATAGTTATAAAAGGAAAACAAGTTATGTTAATCTTATTTATTCTTTAACGCTCTGACCGTGTAATAATTCTATTCTTACATGGTTAGAGCGTTAAAGAATGAAAATTCTACACCTATAGGAAGGAAGCAAGCAATATTAAAATTGTTCCTCCTGAACCGTGTAATAATGGGAATTCTTACACGATAAGATTACTACAATGGAACCGAACAGATATGATATAATAAAAATTATCTCCGATCTGACGTTAAATAAATATTCAAAAATTCAAATAAAACGTTTGCAAAATCTAGAATTAATGTAAAAATGAAAATATGAAACTTTAAACACAGCCGATGTATCCCCAATTAATTTGTAAAACTCTGTACTATTCACTGTAATGCGGGTAGTTCTGGTCCAGATTTTAGATGCATTTATTGCTGTGTTATCTATCCAGTAAGGTTGAATAGTTAGAAAACCAACTGTTGTTAGTTTCCAGCCCTGGAGAGAATTCCTTTTCCTGGGAAGAAAACATTTGGAAACCTAGAGCGAAATTTGGTTCAGAAGAGACAAAAGGAATTTGATCTTATTAAATTATATTCATTTATAATATCAAGAGCAATTGAATTGTCTTTTTTTATAAATGTATAGATTGACTGTTCAAACGAAAGAGCAACAAATTTTTCGTTTGATTTTAGAAAATACTTCTTACTAAGGTAGACGCAACAATGACAATATTAGAACATGATGGATATACTGTCACTTTAACAAAATTTTAAGTAGAACGACGGTTTGTTTTTTAAAAAGAATCAAAAATAACATTGAACACAATCTGGTTTTTATGTAAATTTTCCGAATTGATGAAGTATCTGAAGCATTAATAAGCAGGGTTAGCATTATTTGATTATTCTACATTGGAATTGAATTAGTATAGTTTAAAATTACAGCTAAGTTTTAGTATTCTAGAGTATTTTCTCTAAATCAAATGAACCTTGGAACTTTGTTGGCATTGTAAATCTTACAAGTGTCCGGAGTTTTGACATGGGAGTTAGTTAGGAATTGAAATGGGCATCGTTTTTTGAGTGAACCAAATATTTGACAACCAATGAAATTTTTCGTCAATGATGGTGTTGTTCAGAAGAAAAAAAGAACAATGTATAAACGATTTTGTTCGTTTTTTATTGACCAAACTACTTTTCTGAAAGATTTTAACGCATGATTTTTTCGAACAAATTTTTTTTCGAATTTCATGCAATTTTCATAAATAATTTGTTTCTTGTTCTCATCTGGACTTCAAATCGAGTTTTACAACAAATTGTCGTATTTCAATCTTTTCAGTTTGACTGAACATTTTCTCAATAAAATTAAGTTTAAGTTCATTTGGCTTAATTTAAATTTAGGCTTCAAAAATTTGGCTTCATTTAAATAGATTTCAAATAGATTAAAATATGCTACAGTAGAAGTCATTGTTAAATGAGCAAATATATTAATGATCTGAATTCCGAATTTTAAAAAAACCGTTATAGTTTAGTAAAGATTTTACTGAATTATCAGTCGGTGAGAAAACTAACGAAATATATGGGAAACGAACAATAATTTTCAAGGAACGAAATCATTTTTATAACGTTGAAAAACAAACAAATGAGTGATTACAAACGATGAACGGAAAAAAAACGAGCCCATCCCTAGATAGGAAAATGTACAGCCGTCAGTCTGGATATAAATCATTAAGAATGAATTTCCCAATTGGACATTTTCTAGTTACTGATATCGATTGAACAAAAGTTTAGGAGGCATGTATTTGGCCAGGCTTTTATTTAACTTCTAAATCATAACACCGTCGCATTCATATAAAAATCAATTATTTACATTTTAAGTATAAGTATAGTGAATTTTATTTCAGTTTGATATATGTAAAAATGCTGTACTCTACCTGGTAGCAAGTGTACTCTGGTTGGTAACTAATGAACCCAATTCAGTAAAATTTGTACTGTAGTTGGGACCAAATGGACTCAATTCAGTAATATTTGTAATCTAGTTGATAAAAAATAGTCTAAATTCGGTAATAAAATCAAGCACTGGATGTACTGTAGTCAGTAACATTTGTAGTTTAGTCTGTAACTAATGTTCTCTTGCTAGGAACACGTGTACAATCTTTTTTTAGGCTTATTACCCGGTTCCTAGAAATATCCGAAATATGATGGAATAATTTAAACTTTTATATATTCATAAATATATTTCGTGCCTGGAAACATACTATATATAATATAAATATATTCTAACCTCATGCAAGATCTAGTTAGATTTCATGTTCAAAATCAAAATCTCTTTTTTTTTCTCATTGTCTGACTACTCTTCCATGAACTGTGCCGGATATGTTGTGAGGATTCAGGAAATTGAATTTGTTTTCACACAAGAAATCAATTGTCCTTGGTTGGCCAAATGATTCTTTTTTGGTTTCTTCTGTAAAACATTGTCTGCCCTCTTGAAATAGTATTGTATATTGTTAGAAGGAATCAAATTGTTGCTCTAAAGTAAGTCAGTTTTTAATAGAATTTTAAAATGAGGTAAACTTGACTTACCTCACATATTGAATAAACTTCCAAGACATTTTATAGTTTGAAGGAGTTTGTCATAAACAATGTTATGCTTTTGATAATGATAATTTTAGATTTATATATTTTTTATCATACAATATCATGAATATCAGTTAACAGAATATTTTGAGAAGAAAAGCTAAATTTTAGATCACGTACATCACAAGGGAGAGATTGGCTATGTAACATTTGAACTGAAAGTGCAGTATTATGGAGAAAACCTTCAGGATTCCTTTGATACTAGTGAGACATTTGTACGGTGTATAATTTTTTATAGAAGAGTGTAAATTTGTGTGTAATATTTCAGCTATTGTTTCAGTCATCAGAATAAACGTTTTTTTACAATTTATTTAATAACATGCTCACAAAACATGTATAAAATAACATTTTACAAACTAATGTCTCGTGTATATATGGGAACAGGTTGAGAAAATAATTAACTTCTTTTATTGAAAATAAGTTATTAGAAATATGTTCCTAAGCGGCATTTTGTCTATATTAAAAATTTTACAAAAATTTTGCTGACTGAAACAACTGGTGCAATATAACTAAGGACTCCACGATCTAAATTGAAAACCGTAAAAATGTTGCATTGGTATCAAATGAATCCTTAAGTTTTTCGCCATAATACTTCATTCTAAGTTCAAATATGTTACATAGTCTTTGAAGGTTCTTGGACTTTCTACAAAATTTGAGAACTTTTACAAATTCCCCCAAAAAAATGTCTAAACATTTGTTTTTCTTGCACTTTCTAAAATTCCATCCTGTGACTGACCAAAAAAGATTGTTCATTTGGTCTGTTTTTTAGTCCGTTCATTCAAATATCTTTTCTCAGGGTTAAAATTTTCCCTCTCAAAACTTTGTGGAACCTTTAATTAGTCCAAAAATAAAGTCTCAAAAAATGAATAAAATCAAATCCCCAACACTAGTTCTATATGCCCCTTTTTCATGCTTATAACTAGACTTTCAAGTTCTATCTCATGAGACCCGAGTTGGTTTTTGAAATGCAAAGTTCTTAATTAGCTAAGAGCAAATATTCAGATATATAAAGTTCAAACTGTACATCTAACCGCCCCACCCCTTCTCCAGGGCCCACACTTACCAAAATATTATTTTATCCTTGGATTTTAGATTTCGCACCAAACACCTGAAATGGAGAAGAGTTTGGGAGGGGGGTTGTACCTTGGCTGGGTATTTTTTTCAATGAAATTTTTTGGAGGGTTTTAGAATATCACATTTATGGAGAGAAAATACTTTTTAAGTTTAACAAAATATCCTTAGAGGTTTAAAGGGTGGAATTTATTTCAGGGAAAGAATAATACCTCTCCTTTATTCTTTAAAGGAACACACACACCACCTCGCCCTTTTGCATATTTAAAAATGTTGTAAAAAATGCTTTTCATGATGTATGGGATGCGAAATTACTTTTTAACAAGGATTTATTGGACAGCTTTTAAACTCCATTAAACTTTCTGATTTTCAATAAAAAGAAAATAAAAAAAGGATAACTAAAACTTTAAGGGGCATCAATAGAAAACATGATCATATTAGTCTCATTATTGAACTAAAGAATCGTATTAAAATCTAAGGATTCTTTCAGCTTGAGTGTTCAATTATAATAATTTTCTCCTTTGTTTCGGAAGGAGAAATGGGCAATGTAGAAAACTATGAAAGGTTTGTATTCAATTACAAGACCAGGTCGGCTGTGAAGTTTTGGAATGCCTTAGGCTTTGGTTTTACCGTACAGTTACTTATACAATTGGATGGAGCCATAGACTTGTATACTCCAAAACTGCAAATCTTTTTAGCTTTATTTTAAAAGAATTGATTAGAAACCCGGCCCTGTTTGATTTTTGCGAGAGAGCTTGAGTATTTTGGTTTTCAGTGCAATAATATCTACGAGGTGTGTTCAATACGTTCTGTAAAAAAATTTAAAGGTTCTTCAAGATGTCTCAGCCATGGAATTTTTTCTGAAGTTCACTATATCTATACTGGACACATTTTTGGCCAGGTTGGCGTCAAGCAGATTGTGGTTGTGATGTAAGGAGTGTTCTCCTGAAGGTGGATTAGCTTTGTTGTCTCAGCAAATAAATACCTAGAATATTGACCAAAGAAAGAGGACACTTTGGAGGCTCGTTTACCTTAAAAAGTTTTTATTAGACAATGCAAAACCCAAGCAGAACCCTAAAACATGATCCATAATGCATTTTAAAATGGGTTTTTAAACTTTAATGGTGGTTTACTACTGGGGTTAAGTAGAAAACAATTAATATTTGAAATGTCCAGGCGGAAAAAGACCAGCAAGAAACTCAAAAACTGCCAAACATTGTTAAAAAATTGTTACAACCATATTAGCAAGGGTTCAAGAGTATGTTTGCCAGACAGCTTGATGTAAACAAAGTTGTAAAGCAAGATTTAAAAATGACAAACATCTGGGTCAAACTTGTTCCAAAGTCTCTGACCAAAGGTATGACGTTGATTATGGATCTCTAACGTAAATCCTCAAAAGTCTTCTATACATTTAATACTCAATCTCTCATTTCTTTTGCTCGCTCTTAAAGGATCTAAAACAGACTCTGATAGATCAAGTTTGAGACCATTCTGAAAATCTTGCTGTGACAACCTAAGCTGATATATTCTCTTTACATTACTACAAAGATATGATTGACATTAACTAATCTATTAAATAATCCTGTATAGATATAGTGAACTTAAAAAAAGTTACAGGACTGAGACATCAAAAGTACCTCTAAAAAAATTGCAAAACTTATTGAACACACCTCATTTATCATGATTGTTGATCAGACAAAGCTTTTAAGGCTACCGACCCTGTACATGAATGGGAAGTACTTGAAATTACAGGCGGGGCCTCTTTAAGAAACTTTAAGAATCCTTGTCCCAATTCCCCTGGAAATTTTGTTATTGGTTGAGTTAGAAAATTGATTGAAAGATTGGCTAAGTTTCCTCCACTTAAAGATATCTTGATGTTGTTAATGGAGAACATCTGAAGTTAATGGATCAAGTTTCAGCGTCATAAACAATATATTTAATACCAATATATCATACCATTACATGGAGAACAGAACTAATTAATGAGAAATAAAATAAATTATTTGTTATATAGATTAGTTAGGTTTAAAGGGAGTAACCGGCTATGTAAGGTAGTTGTACTGAGTATGCAGTGTTGGGGAAAGCTTCTTTCGGATTATTTGAGACATATTAAACTTTTTTAAAGATCTGTAAATCCTGAGTTTGAGCGCAAATTTGACGTTCAAAACTCCTACTTTGGGGTGGATACGTTTTTAGAATCGGGTTTTTTTTTTAAATTAATAAATAACGACGACGAAAAATAAAGTAAAAATCGTACAGTAATCTAATTAGATGGTGGGAACACATTTCTGAAAAAAAAATTCAATATATTAATGCTAGAATCAGTTATTTCGTTTTCATCATTATATTGAATTTCTTATTTTCTTTGAATTTATTCACAGATTTCTTAAAATTCTTCAAATGTCGTCTTTTCAATAATAATTCAAGAAAATATGCAGAAAATGTTTGTGAATAATGAGAACTAGAAGAATGAGAAAATAAAAACTAATAATTGAACAAAATTACTTATTTTCGACGATAAGATTAATTTTTATTTTCTTAACCGGTTCCGAAACAACTGATTAGTTTACTGTAGAGTTTTGTTTACATTTTTTGTCGTCGTTATTTAATAATTGAAAAAAAACTAATTCTGAAAACGTATCTACCCCCAAAGTAGAAGTTTTAAACGTCGAATTTGCGCTCAAACTCGGGATTTACAGATCTTTAAAAAGTTTAATGAATCCGAAAGAAGTTTTCCACAACACTTCATACTGAGTTCAACTACCTTACATAGCCAGTCACTCCCTTTAAGATATTATAATCATAAGTAAGATTGCAATAAGAAAGGGGTTTATAATGTGTGTAATACTATATTGAGTTAAAGTTTGTAGATCAACATCTTCGGTGCTGTAATACATTCTATATATTGTTATTTATTGCTTCTGGGGAATTGAATTTCTATCTCCTGGTTTCAATCTGGATTTCATCTTAGCGGATTACTTTAGCCGATATTGCTTTGCACTATCTCTGCCCTCAAGGGGTGAGTATTGTAAAAAGAAAGATATTTATTTTCAATGAGAGAATTGTCATTGGTATTTACAGCTTGATACTTTTTGCACTTGTCATGTGTCTCCCCCTGGTTCAACATTTTCACCCCTTTTTTCAAAATTCTTCTTTCCATTACCCCTAATACACCAGATTTTTACAAATAGTTGGGGGTTTGTTTAATTCTTACGTCGGTAGGGGTGGGGCACATTATGCAGTACCGCAACTAGGGGGGGGCGAACCGATTTTCGCCCCCCCCCCCACTTACTTGACTCCAGCATGAACGATCATGGACCAGCTTTTATTAAATTTTGTCACTTAAGAAAAAAATACTAAAATTTTTCTTTGGCGCTTCACGCATCATTTCTAATAATATTTCTAACTATTTTCTCTTTTTTGAAATAAAGAATTTAATTTATCCTCTCAAAAAACCTGTATATCTGTTACTTCTCATGAGTACTAAGAAATACACTAAGAAATACATGGAAAGACACTAGAAGAACAGAAATGTTCAATTAATTTACTCATGTGATTCATTTTAATGCTGTTGGAAGTATATTTGTTTTAAAGATAAGAACAAGCCATGGATATTAAAAAAATTGGTAAATTATTGACCAAAAATGCCAGTTTTTTATTTGAAATCCTAAAAACCCACTTTTAAAAAAATTGTTCAGGGGAGTACGCCACTGATCTCAAGCCTGATCTTCTTAAATTAGTAATCTCGTTAAGATTTATCAGTCTCGTTATGGTTTTCACAGATTGTTGGAAACTTTATATTGCTGCAACAAATTTAATGAGATTTTTCTCTGATTCGTTAAAGGGACCGTAAGCGTAATTTCTAGTAAACCTTTTTTCACAGAGGGTAATACCCAGTTTAAGGCGGTGCCCTAAACAAATTACACTTACAGTCCATAAACGTGTTCACTGTTTATACCCAATATTTTAACTATAATAAGAAACAAATGAATCCAGATGTTGAATGCTTTTCTTCAAGAAGTAATTGATAGCTCCAAATCTTCAAGGTAAGGTTTTCTAGTGCTTTCTCCTTGGTTAACATTGTTTTTTACGAGCGTGGCTTCCCCTTAACAAAAACAATGGGAGATAAGTGTCAAAAAATATCAAGTAGTAATCTTTGTTTGTTTGTCAGTTTGCTTACATGTCCGATCACAACTCAGGAACTCCTTGACCGATTTGCCTCACACTTTGATTGGGGAACGTAAAACCACAGGAATGTTCTTAGCTTAGTTTTAAAATTCTAAGTTCGGTTGATTGAAAATTGATTTTTAACTGGTAAACTTAATTTCCAGGCAAAGCTGGGTTCCCAAACTAGTAATTAAATGAACCTTGAAATTAAACTTCAAATTGTATTAAAAGGGACTTCAAGTAATCTTCGATGCAAAGATGGCAATGTCTAATTCACAACGGTACCCTTGAAACCTTTATCTGATCAATAATGTGGAAGATATTGTTGTTTAATTCTTAAAATTCTTAAAATGTTTTCCTGTAGCAGAAATGTGCAAGTAAGTTTTGTAGAGAAACCACAATAACAACAAATAATCAGTTTTCAAAAATATAAACATTTCTTATTTTATATCTAATCTATCTAATTCATACTTAATATTCATACTTAATAAGATTAAGCTTTTACGGGTACCGTTGTTAATCGTGCTTTGCAAGCTTTTTAATATGGGTCACTTTACAATACGTATCCAGTCCCTTTAAGAGAGATAAAATCCAAAATACAGCCATAACATGTAAACCTTAGTCTCAGTGCTCGGCCCCCTAGCCTTTCTTAGCAACAACTCTTGCCCCTGTTATGTAGCCAGCAGTTCCTCAGAAGGAAACTCTGATAACCCTTGCCCCTGTTATGTAGCCAACAGTTCCTCAGAAGAAAACCCTGATAACCCTTGCCCCTGTTATGTAGCCAGCAGTTCCTCAATAGGAAACCCTGTTAACCCTTTCCCTTGTTATGTAGCCAGCAGTTCCTCAGAAGGAAACCCTGATAACCTTTGCCCCTGTTATGTAGCCAGTAGTTCCACAGAAAAAAAAACCTGATAACTTTTGCCCCTGTTATGTAGCCAGCAGTTCCACAGAAAGAACCCCTGAAAAACTTTGACCCTGTTATGTAGCCAGCAGTTCCTCAGAAGAAAACCCTGAAAACCCTAGCCCCTGTTATGTAGCCAGCAGTTCCTTAGAAGGAAACCCTGATAATGATAAAAACTAAATATTTTCCACAATTTACCCACACACGAATTTTCCCCTCCAGTATTTGTATTTTCGAGTTTTTATTCTCACCTTTTTGGAAATTCACTGTTTACCCACAAATGTGTAATGCTTGGAATGGAACCACCTTTTTGTATAATTTATGGATTTTCTGTCTGCACAAATGTTTGGTGTAATACCGACTCCATTAGGGTTTATGAAACCCTCTTATGTGGTTTTATATTCTCATTTTATTTAGAAATTGTGATTCGGAATTCTACAATTTCATATCCTCTTTTCTTATACATGGTAGCAGCTATTTTTAAAATTAGGATAATCAATGAAAACCCGTGATTTAGTTTTCACATTCCAATTGAAGAAAGGGTTGCAGTTAATTTTTTAAACCTGTTGAATTCCCAAAACCAAACAATGGGACCTGGGTGGTATTTTTCTCAAAAAAAAATGGTTTTAATTGACGAAGAAATTAAAATTTTTTTTAATCTATTAGCTTAAATGAACAGATAACATTAAGTGCTTATCTCGTTTGTTTTGGTATAGTAATGTATTAAATGGTAATGGCATCTATATAAATAAAGTAGTAATCTCTGTTAGAGTGTTTTGTATATTATAACTCACGTCTTAAACGAATGAATTTTGATAGTGTAATTCGTTAGAATGATCTAAACCTAGTGTAAAACATTGTTTAAATCTCCAGGCTTTATTTCCTTATTTAGTAATTTTCCTGGACTGGGAGAGCAAATTATTGAGTTTGTACTGCCTGACTGGAGTATGGAACGCAAAGGGGTGATGGAGAGGGCAGTAACAGCTGTTTCTCAGGTAAAATTTAAATATAACCGGATTTATAAAATTTATAAAACTGGGGATTCTACGCTCCCTCCTTGTTAAATGTATCTTGGACCACATTTTGGATATGCGAGGACTAGGGGAATTTTGTGTTCATGTTTAAAGAATCATACATGTAAAAATAGGTTGACTAATGAATGCCGCATATAATTTATAAGATAAAGGAGGGTTTTCAAGCGCTTTCTCTTCGCTGTCAGGTTTCGTGAGACACGCTGTACTAGCAACTATTTTTAATAATGATAAGGGTAGAGAAAGGGAAGAATTTTGTTGGGCAGGTTTAAAGGCCGGACAAAGTTAAATCTACGAAATGTATTTACCTCGTATATAACAATCCCCCCCCCCCTCCTTCCCCGGAACATAGAGCAAACTTAATATATAAGGATTCAGTAAATTAAACCCTGTATGCGATGAATAGGTTAATTATATAAATTGATCCCTATGATGTATGAATGAGTTGGACGCTAGCATTAGATAGAATTCAATCTTCACTAATACTGTGTCAGCAGTTTCTCCTTTGGAAAAAACTGTAGTGACCCTTTTGTTCAATTTTTTTTACAACTTTTAAAGTATTACCACTCGTAGACTACTAGTCTATCATATTTATATCTCATATTAGTTATCAAGAACCCTCTTTTGTACTTATATTATTATCAATTTTATTATTTTTATTTAATATTATTATTTTCCATATAAAGGATATTCAACGATCTGTGAAGAGTGTGAGTAGTGCAGTAACCTCAGTTCCTGGTAATATTGTCAAGAATGTTGATACAGTCATGGATGGATTTACAAAAGCATTTATACAAAAGAATATCAGGTGGATATATTTACAAGAATGGACTATATGAACATTAGCAGGTGGATATATTTACAAATATAGACTAGATAAAGAATATCAGGTGGATATATTTACAAGTATAGACTATATAAAGAATATCAGGTGGATATATTTACAAGTATAGACTATATAAACATTAGCAGGTGGATATATTTACAAATAAAGACTATATAAAGGATATCAGGTGGATATATTTACAAGTATTGACTATAAAAAGAATAGCAGGTGGATATATTTACAAATATAGACTATATAAAGAATATCAGGTGGATATATTTACAAGTATAGACTATATAAAGAATATCAGGTGGATATATTTACAAGTATAGACTATATAAAGAATATCAGGTGGATATATTTACAAGTATAGACTATATAAAGAATATCAGGTGGGTATATTTACAAGTATGGACTATATAAAGAATATCAGGTGGATATATTTACAAATATAGACTATATAAAGAATATCAGGTGGATATATTTACAAATATAGACTGTATAAAGAATATCAGGTGGATATATTTACAAGTATGCAAGTATAGACTATACAGGTGAATATGGGGGAATGAACTACAAACTATTTATGATATATGCCTGTTATATACTAAGCTTAAAACTATAAATATGAATGTAAGCTTATAATTATAATTATATATTGTATTTATCTTTTGTCCTCTCAGATCTCGCCGAAGTTTGATTATATTGATGAATTTATGCATAATTGAACAGAATTATTATAACTTATGATTTGTTTGTACCAAATTTTTGTACTAGTAAAGAAACTTTAGATTACAACACAGAAAAAAAAAACAAAAAAACAAACAATATAATCATCAGATCAATTTCGATTACTCGAATAAAAATAGTTTGGATATATATTATTAGTATTGCCGGTTATAATTATAATTATATTATAGAGGACGTGAGTCAGACTCTAATAAAACGCATAGATAACTTCCAGTATATATATTTCTTATAACTTATTACTAGAGGGTTCAGAACTAGAGTCAATATCGATATCGCACGTGTAGACTGTAGAGATGATATCAGTACCAATGCCCCGTATCCGTTCTATCTCATTCTGTTGAATCTTGTGGAACTAGTTTAACGCGGCCAGGCATCGTCTTCCACAATATCAATTTTATTTATTGAAACTATTTATATTTTAGCTGTGATGTAGATGTGGTCAGTTCAGTCAAGGAATTTATTCTAGATTTTATCTTCTTCTGAAACAGAATTTGAAAATATATATATGTTTTTGAAATTTCTTTTCAGGGATTTTCTTTTTTTCTTACTCACTGGGTATTTAACAACATACATCTTTTGTCTTATAATTCAAAATTATAAATTTATTATCTATGGCGAATAGATTGGCGGATTATCGTTGTGAATTTGGGATGTACAATGTACATAATAGAGACAGTTTTGTAACGACAAATTGGTTTTGACAGTTTAATAATATGAAATTTATCAACGATAATTTTGGTTACAATATGGTTACGAAAAATTATGAAGTTTAAACTTGGTTGGCTCATTGCTAGAAAATGAAGACGCCCCATAAATTTTTTAATCCTTCCAGAAAGGTTTTTGAGAAAATGTCTAAACTTTGAAACTAAACTTCCTGGAATAGAGATTATTGACAGAATTACTATAGTTTCCATCAAACCTGTTCTAAGCCATCAAATAAATCCAAATCATTTATCAAATTTCGGTCGAATTTCAATCATGCATTTTAGAAAAATGCGTTACAGAAAATGCAAAGTAAAATGGAAAAAAAGGAAAAATGGATAAAACTAACTGAGGAAAATTACACTAGAAGAGTTTATGGCTACTTTTCCCATCTCTCCCGTCTTTAAATAGTAAAGAGAAAAGTTAAACAAAATTAGTTTTAGATATTCTATTGAAAACTTTGCTCTTGATCTTCTTAGAGAATCCTTAAATTGTATGAAGATGAGATTTTCATAAATTTTCTAGTTTTTATTCTAATCTTTTCCTTGTTAACCAAAAGAAAGTACAGTTTGTGACATCAATAAAATACTGGGTTCGTGTTGTTTTACACAATACACAATACTATTTTTGTGTACAATTTGTTTCAAATAAAATTTGATACAAATTATTAAGAATAATATTGAAAAATCGGCAAATAATTTGATGCAAATCAGCACTAAATCTTCTCATATAAAACCTCAAAATTGTATTTACTAATTAAAAATCGTCGATATTATGAAATACATTTTTAATAACAAAATTGGTTAAATAGAAACTTTCATTTTGTTACTTTTGTGAGACTTCGTTAGATTTAATATAGATTTTTACTGACCATTTTTCGTTGATTTTTAATATAGTTTATCACACAGTAGATGTTTATAAAACTCTGTTTATGAAAGAGTTATATTTTCGCGCGCTTTTTTGCATTTTGATCGCTTTATTGAAATTCTTTTTTTTTAAAAACATGAACCCTGAGTTTTACAAAACAACGTTAATCCCGGTTTTGTTTTACACACCCTGTATAATAAACGAAAAAATATCTGGCAAAAGTAAAAACAACTCAATCTTCTTTAGACTTAGTTTTCTGGTAAAGTTTATTAAAGTGTTTAAAGTTTTGATCTCTGTTGCAAAAATATTTGGTTTAGCAGGAATTCATCCTGGCTTAGCTCTTAAACAATTTGCCATGTTAATATGGAAATATTTAACGATTCACTTTTTTACAAATACAATCTTTCCTTTCATACAGCAGAATATTATTTAATTTTGATCCAATATTTCAATTTTAATTCTAGTTTGTAGTTAGTTTTCAAGGTTCATTTAAATTCGAACTGGAAACTATTTGGTGTTTTCTTTCTTCAAACATTTTAACAAAAACAATAAAATATTAATGAGACGCAGAGCTAGTCTCTCTATTTAATTAAATTAAATGTATTCATGCTATAAAAAAAAACTGAACTAGCTAGATAAAGTGTTAAACCTATACCATATCTTTTAAACTTTTTTAATAAATTCATAATTTACGAAACTAGGTTTACTAAGTTTTTTGTTGCTTACTTGTCTGCAGGTAGAAAAAATTTGTATATTTTTTTGTTTTGATTGCTAGATTTCCAAATCAATTTAATGGACTAAGATCATTCGAGTTACCACACAAATGTTGGTCTTAATTCTGAAGTTCATCAAATACAAGTTACAAACAAACAAACCCTGAAAGTGTCACCAAAGATATAAAGTTAAATATTGGAAAGAAATAACACAAATTTTCGGATAAAATATTTTGTGCCCCAAAATTCAAAAGTGGAATATGCCAGCTTTTAAAATGACTTTAAAAAACAATTTATAATTCTGCAATATACTATCTTGTGTGGAGAAAGGGTAAAGTCTAGAATATAATTATTTGATGAAGGTTGGAGCATCTATAGAAGATAACGAAGAGAATATTCCTCTCAGGAAATATATATATATCATTATTCACACGTCTGTTCTACAATGTACAACTTATTCATCTTGGATATTACGTTGTCACATTCAGGATAATCATTGCAAGTATTTCATGCCTCATGTCATAAATGCATTATTAGTTTTTTTTAGTTTCATTTTCAGAGGTTATTCTACCAAGTTATAAGATTCACAACCTACCAGGTTCATGATGCATATAAGAGCTCGGATGCATTTGTTGTTGTAACCAGTCTTTGGACCGTTACACGGTGGAGTAAATCGGTTTGAATATATATATGACCTTAAGTTGTGATCATGTTATGAATCACAGGGGTAAAATCTCAATTTCTGTCAAATTTTTGGATGAAAAACTTTATTCAAACTAATATATTCTTTAGTAATTAAACTTTTTTTTAGTCATAAGTTTCATTCTGAATGCGGTTCCTCTTGGGGAGGGATAATTGATAATATTTAGAACTATATTCAGAATTTTTCTTAGTCCCCAGTTGTTTACAAAACTTTGGCTTGCTTACAATCTATCAGCTGTTTCTTTTCAGTTTTTGTGCAACGTTGCTTTAGATAGATACAGCTTGGGTCTCTACTCTCTAGTTTCCTGTTTTTGTTTACTCACAGTCTATTGTTCTCTCAGGAGGGTAATCGATTTTCTGAATAATATGTCACAAGTAAACATATTCATTTGGTAAATATTCATGCAGTGATTAACGTCTAGAAAAAGAATTTAAATAAAAAACTAATTTT